TTGGATAAAAAGGCGTTTCTCTTCTTTTTCAAGTTTGACTTGTCCCTAGTAGAAATGAACATTTCTTCTATTGATAGACCCGTTTTTTAAACGAAACGTTGGGTTGTCTTTGATTCTCGTTACCAATATCCAAAAGGAAGCCTCTACTAGTGTACCCATCAGGTTATATTTCGCAAGAGTCTTCTTCCAAGTGCTTAACGCAAGGAACTTTTGTATAGTGACTCACTTATTCAATGAGCTGATGGTTGAGAATGGAAGAAAAATAGTAGGACTCAACTGCAGCTGAACAAATCGTTCTTTGAATTTGCAGAGCTTTTAAAAGTTTTACCTCTTTTTATATTGGAAGAGATAATAGCCCTCTTGGAGTTATCTCGTTCCTAAAGCAGCTTTGTACTTTTTATAGTTTGCTTTCTTGTATATCTTTAAAAGTTGTGGTTTTTACAAAGTTTATCGTACAAGAGGATGCAACAAAAGCCTTTAAACCTAAACAGTCATGTTTACCTTCAAAAACACCTCAAATGTATAGTCGACTATTGAGGAGAAGGAATTCAACTATGATTCAAATGATATGCAATGACAAGATACGAGAAGAGAGTCGCTAGAATAGACTCAATTCGATTGAATTGAATTTTTCTTGAAAATATCTTTTCTCCTCTTAACAGAATTCACAGTATCAAATGCCACTATTTTCAGAGGAGAAAGAAACAGGAGTTATTGACTCTTACAGAAATTGAGTATTGATGATACACTTGTGTGAGTCAATGTTGTTTCTGAGATTTGATAAAACCACGAGATATTTTGGATCCTTCTTTGCACATTTGTTTTGGTTTGTCTTTTGCTATCATCAACTTTTGTAGCTTTAGTGATAAGCTGCTACTTGTCATGATATCGTAAGAAAGGAATTTGATGATTGCTGAGAATAAAGCAGTGCTGTGCTTGCGGGTTTCTGCATTTCTACTAAATAATATATTTCAACTGGAGCTTTTGAATAGACTACAGAAGAGAATGACTTGGTTCATACTCTAGTTCCGTGTTTCGAAATGAAGCAAAAGTGACGTGAAAACTGTTCCATAAAATACAGAAAATCTAGAGAGAGACGTCTATGGAACAAATTCTTCATGAACAATCTATATCACTCGGAACTCTCATGACTACTCTCGAAAATTCTGAAAGAAACTTTCTTATCTATGTGAGAATGGGCCATGTTCAATAGCTTTATACTCTCAAAGAGCATAAAAAACTTGTGAAATAAACATTGGCTTCCTTCTAATCCTTCTTGTACCCTATGAGAGTTGCCATTATATTAGCATACGAGAATAAGAATATCGATAGTTGAAAAAGCCATATTGATCGTTCTTGCCATAGTTGTAGTCATCTCAGTCCAAGCCATAAAGGGTATGACATAGTCATCAGTTGATAAAGAGAAGAAGTTGGATTGGTATCCTTTACTGTTTTCCTTGTTGTTGTTGTGACCGACAAACAGTCAATCGTTCGTTTATTTATATTTGTACTCCGAAATAAACAGAAGGTTGTTTAATTTCTCTTTGGCGATGGCGAGTTTGGATGAAAAGTGGGAAGCTGTGGACAAGTTTAAGTCTGTTGTGGTAGATCGTGAAAGAGATGTTTTTCGAGTGACAGAAGAACTGTATGATCTTCATAGCAACAGAGAACAACTCAGGGGTGTAACGAGTAGTTGCAACTATCGCTTGACCATACCATTTGCCCCCCATCTCTTTGGCTCGGGCAAAACGACCTTTGCCCGAACCTATTTGGAGTTGGTGCAAAGGTTTGGTGAAACTTTTCTGTCGACGTTTGCTTCGGACCCTTTGAGGAGAGCCTTTTTGGAGAATTTGAAGAGGGCTTCATTGCTTTATGTGGATTTGAGGGGGTTGGAGCCCACAGTCCCGATAGAGTTTTTTCGCAACCTGGAGTGGGCAGTCTACTATTTATTGTTCGGATCAGCTTGTAATCAGATGGGTCTACCGTTTATGAAGGCTGATGAAGTCTATAGACACATTCCTCCCTGTCCCTGTTTTTTAGTTGGAGAGCTTCGTTCGATTTTGGGCATTCCTTCCGATCAATTTCTTTTGTTGGCAATTGACGAAGTTGGTGTGTTTGATACAAAGGGAACTTTGTTTGAACTGGAGAAGAATGACAAAGGTGTGGTTCGACCTTACAATGACTTTTTCGGTATCATTAGTCAATTGTGCAAAGAACCCGACTTGTTTTTTATTGTTGTTGGGAAGAGCAAGGGTTTAAGTATTAAGAATTATGTCTCTTCTGTATCAAAAGTCATACTACATTTTATTTCTTTATCACCTTTGGACGCTTCCAGTATCGTTGAGTTCCTTGAAAAGAGTCTTCTAAAGACACCTACTCAAGTTCCGGTTTGTAATGTCTTATGTAGTTCTTCATTTTCAGTAAATGAATTGGCAGACTCATTATTGGAATGTACAGGTGGAGTTCCTGGTTTGTTGACTCGTGCAGTAAATATGCTTTTGAATTATATAGTAGCAAGAAATCAGCCTTTTATATCGAAAGAAGAATGTTTGACTTGTATGAATGACTATGATTTCCGAAGAATTTGTGCTGAACCATTTGTGGAACGAATATTGATTTTGGACGAAGATAGAAGAAGTGTTTTTGATTTACTTTTGATGATGGCTCTTTATCGTATACCGTCTAAAGTAGATGATAGATTGACCTCGGAGTCCTTTTTATATGATGCCGTCACTGAGATGGGATTATATCGATATCCTATTGACGAGAATACTTTTCAAGTCCTGATTCCGAAAGTATTTGTTGTAATCTTCAAGAACGACCCTTCTATCTCTTCTTTGGAAAAGATACTTCTTGGATCACTTGATGTCGAACCAGTAGATTGTTTCTTCTATTCAAAGTGTCGTGTATTTGAAGGAATTGTTGCTTTACGACTAGTTTTGATGTTGTCTTCAAAGAATCGAAATGAGTTGAGGGATTTGTTGTGTCAGTTGTCTCCGATATGGAAACAAATGAAACTTCCAATCAGTACAATATCACCTATTCACTATATGAAGTCTGTTGTTAGTTCTAGAGAAACAAGAAGTGAATCGAACAAGAGTCGAAGAACTTTTGCCAATGCTGAATGGAATAACATTATTCGAGAGACACTTTATTTAGAGACTATTTACATTCTTTTGGACGCTACTTCTTATAGTCCTGATATTATATTCAAATTACAATCTCCTGTGGAACCCAAAGTTCTTACTGTTGGAGTTGCATGTAAAGGACGTTGGAGGTCGGAAGGAATTGGCTGGTCAGATATTATAGATGAAGCCAAGAAATTTTTAGATCCTGTTTATGATCAAGTCTTATCCAGTGCAATGGATTATCATCATTGTATGCTTATTATCGTTAGTACAAAGTTATCATTGAATGTTTCTAATGAGTTGGGTAGTCAGAGTCGTTGTTACTCCAGTGGAATGTTTATTGGAAATGATTCTTTCAAAGTACCTGATAATTGTGAACTTGTTATTCTTTGTGAAAGAGATGTCCAAATGCTGATTGACGAAGAAATATTGAGTGGACTTGAAAGAGCATTTCATGTTTCTCGTAATCCTACTTTTTGGGATTTTGGATTAGATTTACTTGGTAGAATCCGTAACAGTTTCTTAAGTTGGCAATAGATTCTAACTCAGTCTTTCCCTTTGTTTTGAAGAGCAAGTAAACTTTTTTTTGTATGTTTGAAATTTGGTTACAGCTTATTTGCTTTCACTCTGAGGATTATTGTCTTAATATGGTACTAACCACTAAAATCAAAATAAGCCTATTGTTGCAAAAGTCACTGTCACAGTTTGACAGGTCTTGTTTGCTTCTTGTTACTTCTCAGGAGAGTGTCCCAAAGTGTTGATAAATGGGTTTTATACAAGGTCTTGTATTCGTCAAATACTTTATTTATGGTTCGCCTTAAGTTGAAAGTTCCTCAGCTGGTCTATTTTCTAATAGCTCAGAGAAGTTGTTTTTATACACAATTGCACACAAACCAATATCTACTCTTTATTACAAAAAAAATGAGAAAGATACTTTTTTATCTAAAAGGCAAATCATGTTCTTATCAAGACTTGTTCAAAGCTTCAAAAGACTTTCGTCTCAATCAAGAGTTTGAGCATTGGAAACTATTAAAGAAGATTGATTGATCATTGTTGTATTTTACTGTCGCATAGTTTACTTCACAGCGTACGATATGTCTAGTGAATTTGAACCAGAAACCTTATATGACGTGGTTGTAGTACACCGAGAAAATGATGTTGGCGTAGTAACACTGCAGTTATTTCAGCTATACACTCTCCGTAAACTTGGTCGCCCTTTCAAACCAGTCATACCCTTTGGTCCTCACCTCTTCGGAAGTGGGAAGACAAAATTCGTACAAAGTTACTTGGAACTGGTGAATAATATGGGTGAAAGTGCACTGATAGGTCTCGATTACGTTTGTGAGTCTGAGAAGGCCAACCGAAGAGGTTTCTTGGAGAAATTAAAAAGGGCTTCGTTGCTTTATGTGGATTTAAGGGAGATGAAGCCAACTCGACCCATCGAAGAAAAACGCAACCTAAAGTGGGCAGTCTACTATTTATTGTACCGATCAGCTTGTAATCAGATGGGTCTACCGTTTATGAAGCCTGACGAAGCCTACAGACACATTCCTCCCTATCCAAGCTTTCTAATTCCGGAGCTACGGAAGACTTTTGGCATTCCTTCCGATCAATTTCTTTTGGTAGCTTTTGATGAACTTGGTGTGTTTGATGCTTTGGCAATTTTCTTTCGAGCTGGATCAGATTGACAGTGGTGTGTTTGGATTGTCCAACGGCTTTCTCGGTATTGTTCGTGAGTTGTGCGAAGAACCCGACTTGTTTTTTATTGTTGTTGGGAATAGTGAGGGCATTCAAATATATACAATTACGTAGCTTCAGTCTCAAGGGTTCAGTTAGTGTTTATTCCTCTTGCGCCGCTTGAGAACCATAGTATCGTGGAACATTTGGAGAAAAGTTCTTCCTTTTTATTCACTGGGAGCCCAAAGTTTTCAGAAATTCTTTGTCACGAAGACTTCTCAACTAGTGAACTTGCAGAATTGTTGTTGGAATTGACTGGTGGTGTTCCTGGTTTACTTGTTCGAGCAATCAGTTACCTTTTGCTGTATAAATCATCCAACAACAATTTCTTATTATCTAAGGAAACCTTCTTGATCATAATGAATGATCTTTCAGTAACAAATTATTGTGTTGCGCCATTCTTACCTCGTCTGATAAGTCTCAGTGAGCAGCGTAAGCGCTTGTTAAGAATGCTTACGTTATTATCTTTGTATCGTATTCGATTTGATTTTGATGAAACTGTGCAAATAAGCTCAAATTCTGATGTGTTTTTGTTTGATCTAGTTACAGATATGTGTCTCTATCGTCGTTTGGTTATAGAACCAGACCGCAACGAACGCTACGAAGTGTTGATTCCCAAGTTACTGATTGAATATATTGACCAAGGCTTAAAGGATGATCGTTTAGAATGGTTACTTTTACAAACTCTCAAGTCTCAATCTGTTGAATTCTTTTATGAGTCGAAATGTCGAATTTTGGAAGGTCTTATTGCTACACTGTTTTATTTACATTTTTGTCGGCATCCTACAAACAGCTCAATGTTTTCTACTCTTGGTCAATTGTCTCGTGTTTGGAATGAAATGAGTTTGCAATTTTCTTCCGAATCTGCTGCTTATTATATGAAATCTATACATTATACCAGAACTGTATCAGGAACAGAGAGAATGACATTTGGAAGCAATGATGAATGGGAAAGGATAGTGGAAGAAATGTTAGAATTTGAAAAGATATATATTCCATTTCATTCAACATCCCATATTCCAGATATATTATTCAAGTTGCATGGAAGAACGAATGAGAAGAACTTGATGATTGTGAGTATTGCTTGTAAAGGCCGATGGAGTCGTAATGGTATTCTATGGAATGAAATTTTGGAAGAAGCTCACAAGTTTTTGAAACCAGTGCATGATCAAGTATTGACTAGTCATCCTACATGGCATTGTATGTTGATTATTATGAGTACCAAGTTGGCTACAAATGTATCTGAGGACGTGAATCATTCTTGTCGTTGTTATTCATCTGGCGATGGTGTTGGAGATTTCTTGATTCCTCACAACTGTGAATTGGTTATTCTTTCTGAAGCCGACGTGGAAAACTTTATTGCCAAAGATATTTTATTGAATGTAAGTAACGCTTTCAAGTCTGTGGATAATCCGCATTCGAGAAATATTGGCATTTCAACACTACAAGAAATAGTTTCATCTCGTTTCAAGAATATTTAGGAATGTCTTATTCTTTATTGAATGCTAAGTTGTTAGCCGCGAAATATTGAAAGTTCTACATTTTGTGAAGGAAGTGGGTTCTTAACCTTGTATTACATGAACTCTTGAAAAGAGCCTGAAATGAATTGATAACCACAGCTGCAGCAACAAGTTTGTGTTCAAGGCAGCAAACTGAGCTTTGGTTAGAATTCACTATCAAACTTTTTAACTTGTTAAAAAAAAGTCGATGTGTTGTTAGAATTTGTATTAGAATAAAACGAACCTTGTATGTCCAATAACCACGTTGTCTCATTGATGAGCAGCATCTCTACAATGACTAATGGAACAGACTTTCATCATTTTTGTCTTTTTGTTGAAATAAGCTTGAGGAAGGGTAAAGGATTCTTAAAAATATACGGTCTTTCTTGCGGTAGCCCTCTCTGAGGCAAAATGCCTAGAATATTATGCAAGTATTGACGGATGTTTGCTAAAGAGAATATATGATACAGCCGTTAAGAGGACTGGCTCTTTGGAAAGACACTCAATGTCAATTTTCCAAGGGTACCTTTGAATCAATGTCAGACAACTTTTATCAGAATCGCATCTCTGAATATTCAGTAGACCAAATTCATAGCTTGCTCAGCCCTTAAAGCAGGGAAATGTAATGTGTAAATTACTAATGAGTTGTAGATATTTGCTATGAAATCATTTACATCAATATTGGCTGTCTTACTTCTTTTTCAAGTGAATTTTTACCAAAATGCATTCGGCAGCTTCAATTCAACACAGCAAACCACTGTACTATCCCCGGCACCCTCAAAAGCTCCTATTGAGAATGGAACGGAAGTTTTACAAAAGATGGGAATATTCTCTGCAAGTAGCTTTCAATGTCCTAAAAAGAACCTCTCTTATATTCATGGTAAGGAAGGTGTCAGGCCATTCGATCATGTGTTCATCTTCATGATGGAAAACAGCGGAAATGACGTGATACTTGGAAATGAAAATATGCCATTTATCAATTTGCTGATACAACATTTTGGTTTCGCAGCAGAATATTATGGAATTACTCATACTAGCCTGCCTAATTATATTGCTCTTACTTCTGGAAGCAACTGGTGGAGTCATAATGATTCAACAAAGCAAGTCTTTGACCATACTTGTATTGCAGACAAATTGGAAGAGAAAGGACTTGGCTGGAAGAACTATGCACAATCTATTCCTTATGCAGGCTACAAAGGCAGCTCTTCATATCCTCAAAATAGTAGCTTTGTTTGGCTTCAAGAGCATGTGCCGTTCTTATTTTATCCTCAAATTTTCCAAGATCCAGTAAGAGCTGCAAATATTCCACCTTTAGAAGAGCTAGAACAAGATTTGTATTCCTGCAATGTTCCAGAATACGTTTTTATTTCCCCTGACATCTGTCACGATATGCATGGAGGCTCCGATGTGTGTCCAGCAGTAACTGAATATCCCAACACTCCTAAGAAACTGGCATATTGCTATAATACCAAAAATACTTCTAAGAATTGTGTCAATATCAATAATTTATGGAAAAAAGGAGATGAATTTCTTCGAGAGTGGATTCCCAAAATTGTAAACTCTCCTAGTTGGACAGGGAACTCGGTCATAATTGTCACTTGGGATGAAGCCAATTATAATGAAGAGTTAAATGTCTTTACTGAAGGAGGACCAGATACAGCCTACATTTATTCCACTAATTTTTCTTTTGCGGATCATTCCTTCCTCATTGATGGCTATTATGGAGGTGGAAAGGTTCCACTGATTGTAATATCCAGAGAAAACCCATATCATATTGTGACTTATGGAAAATATAATCATTACAACTTGCTAAAGACTATTGAGGCCTCCTATGGTTTAGATTATCTGGGATACACCAGTGACGATCGTCAAGTTAAGGTCTTGCATGAATTCTTTGGCAAATAGAGCGTTAAAGATAGCATTTATTGTTTGTTCTGAGAGTGTGTTTGTTGATTTGCTTTGTTGTAAACTTTTGAGAGAGTTTGTTTTTTTAAGTTTTTCTTTCATGGCAGATTTTTTTGTTTCATACCTTTGCAAATGGAAAGCCTGGCATCCACAAGAATAAAAAGGGGATCTTAGAGAGCTGCATTTTCAATACTCAGGCTCTGTTAAAATTGTTCTTAAAATTTTTTAAAGAGGTATGCTAAACTGGGGTCAGACTATTTAGAAACATAATCATTGGTAACTTGAGGACCAACTAGGCTTTGTTTTTCTCTTTTGAGAAACGAGCTCTCGTAAAGCAGAAATTTTTGAATCAGTTGATTATCATGTTCAATGATTGATTAGGAGCCCAACTTTTCAGCTCAGTAAACAAACTTCTATTTGTCAATAAACTTTGTCAACCGGAAGAGAATATTTTGAAGCTTTGAAGAGAATCTCAAACTCCAAGGCATATAGTCAGAAGATTAGAATATGAATACCCAAAAAACAAACTATCACTTAAACTAGGCCACTTCACAGTAACACATGGGTTGTACTTTTGTTACAGTTGAAAACAGTTAAAATATTTCAGAAGCGGACCATATACAAGAAAATCACTAGGAATACAAGTAGTTGGGTGTTGTCGGTCTTTATTTTAGTCACGGTTGTGCGCATGTTGAGAAGAGTTCATAGAGCTCCAAGGTGACAAACTCGTAATCCTGTCAAAGCTCTCTCAAAAGGTTTAAAAAAAGAATTGTAGAGATTGATTTCTTTACAGCAAAAATTATTGGAGTGGATAGAGAAGCCGTGGTTGAGCTTCGAAAGGTGAAAGCAGCGAAACCCTTTGTTTTTAGTCAACTCGCAACATGCTTTTTGGACAAGTAGTTATGGGCCCAGCTGGGTGTGGCAAAAGCACGTACTGTTTTACTCTTCAGCAGCGCGCTCTCGATAGTGCACGAAATGTTATTGTTGTCAATCTAGATCCTGTAAGTAGTTTTTTCTTTTACAAACCACAAGACCTTATCATTTTTTGTTCTTTTTGTTTAGGCGGCCGAAAACTATAGCTATTCTGCTTACGCTGATATAAGGGAGCTCATTTCTGTTGAGCATGTAGAAGAAGAACTTACCTTGGGTCCGAACGGTGCCCTTGTTTATTGCATGGAATATTTATTAGAAAACTTTGAATGGCTTGAAGAGATTCTCTGTGGCCTTTTGGAAGATGATTATGTGATATTTGATTGTCCTGGCCAGATCGAATTGTATACGCACTATTCTTTTATGAGAGACTTTACCGTAGCCTTGAAGCAGCTGGGTTTTCAACTTTGCGGAGTTTATTTACTGGACTCCCAAGTTTTATGCGATCCCAACAAATATCTGGGAGGTTGTTTGTCAGCATTATCCACCATGTTGCAACTAGAGATACCACATGTGAACATTCTTACTAAGATGGATTTAGTAAAGGGTGATACTTCAGACAACTTTCCGGACGAAGAGGATGACAATTTTATTTGTCCGGATATGACACAACTTTTGGAAGCTTTATATGTCACTGTCCCCCAAAAGTTTTATCGTTTGAACCAGGTTTGCTCAAGTACTTTTAGAGGCTTTATTGATTACTAGCCTTTTACATAGGCACTTTCGCAACTCATCGAAGATTACTCTTTGACGCAATTTATTCCTCTCAATATCCAAGAACCGGAAAGCATATCGTTTGTTTTTAGCCAGATTGACCAAGCTATTCAGTATGGAGAAGATGCTGAAGTTCGTGATAGTGATATTCTTCCATAATTCGAAAGTTTTCAAGTTTCTCTATTGAATACCTGAGTGCCTAGCCCATTGAATCCAGTGGAGTCCTCCAACATAAGAATTGATGCATCTTAAAAGAAAACAGCAAACAGAAGCCAAAAGAGAAGTTCTTTCAAATAGCCGATCTATAACTTGTGCTTCAATTCCATTTACTAACTGATACCTTCAAAAGACATTATCCATTTGAACGAAAGACAATTTTTCAATCCTACCTCGAGTTACTAGAAATACCCATAAACAATCCCCACTGTGTAGAATTGGATAAGACTGGTGCTAGATGCACATCAGAGATACTTGCAGGATTCTTCCGCCTCCGCATTTCAACCAGTCCAGTAGTTATTCCATGACCTATGACCGATGCACAAAACCCTACCAATGCAAACTGAAAAGATTTCGAAGAGAACGCTAACAATCGTTGCAACCAACTGTATGAGCCGCGTTCTAAGAAATGCTTTGGAAGAGCAAATTGTTTTATCTCTATGACGCTTCATATTAACACAAAAACAAACGATTGAAAACTTACGTGGAGCAGGGCCTTGAAATGTAAACACAGGAGATAGAAGCCAAACCAATGCTATGTCGCCAATTATCTCCAAAGAAATGTCGCTCAAATAAAAGTCAAACTCTTTTTGGAAACTTTTTCCTCTCTTTCGGATTTCCGACAAAGTTTTGGTCGTCACACCAATCAAAACTTCTGCAAACAATGAAAACTCAAAACGAGGGTTCCCTATAAGTCGAGGCCACAGCCCAGGTATGACTTTGCACAGGAAGCAATACAGAGAGTTAGTTCCTATCAAAGCAATCTTTTCCAACTGCAATGGGGATAATGCATCGCTCTTTAGCAATAGTACAAGATCTTCAGGGAACGCTGACGATGTGAGATTGTATTTCTGGAAGAGTTTGGCAACTGGAAGGGGAAATTCGACATCGTTGCTTGGATCTCCCTCGGAGCCTTGTGAAAAGTGACGACTTCCAAAATTGTTATTGCCTCCACAGGAACCATAAGCAGAATTCGCATTTTGAGAAGAATCTAACTTTCTAGTTTGATCGGGAGCTCGTGACGACAAGTCCTTTTTCCCTTCGTTTGGTTGAACGTTGCACATTTTGACCAACATACCTCGGCTTGGATAAGCAAAACCCTTTATACGCTTCGAATCTGCGATGTTCCTAAAACAGCTCTTGAAGTATTTCTCAAAGCTCTTGTTGAAAGCTGAAGAAAGAGTTTGAACAAAAAATATTTCTACAGACTTTGAAACGACAGGGCAGTCCATTTCTCCAACAATATCTAATTGTTTCGGACGGAGAGATATGCCTCTTTCATTCGTAAAGAAATGTCATTGGCATCCTTTCAACTCCCCATGTTTTGAGAATAGAAAATTCAAAGGTGCCTTAAACTTCTTTGACAAAGAAACTTTACAAAAGAGCAACAAGCAGAAGCAAATACATTTCAATTTCAGCTCATGATGACGAAATGACATATTACAAAATACTTCTTGAGAAGTGTATGTTTTCAGGTTCAATAGTTTCTGAAATGAAAACTCTTTATCTTCTCGCTTTGTAACCTAAAAGAATAAAAGAAGTTGCGAAATGCTGGGTCTATTCTTCATTCTTTCATAGAAACTGCTTCAGTTTGAAATTTCTTCAACTATAGATGCTTAGCTACAATTAAAAAGAAAAGCAGCAAAAATATAAACAAATCAAACGTTGAGGTGATGTGGATGAAGCAACACATTAAATAAATTGCAATCGACAAGACATACAAAAAAAACAAATTTGGTTCCTATTCTTTTTGTATAATTTTCAAAATATTCAAACTGTTCTTAGCGCTCTGGAAATATCTTTCCTTCCTGTAGCCTCAGTCTTTCCAAATATATATAAGTAAAGTATTTCTATCTCACTTTTCTTGGAGTTTAAAATGTAATATCTACCAAGGCTTGTTCTTCTATTGTTTTGTCGTCCAAGCCCTTCTTTTTGACCAAACAAGGAATTACTGGGCTACCTTGGGTTATTTATTGCCACTCATCTCGTTGTATCAATAATATGTTCATAGAAGGAATAGCATTGTCTTCCAAGAGACACCGCAAGACTTTTTCTTAAACCATGAAACCGGAAATACTCGACATTGAAGGAAGTTCCCTCTATCTTGGACATAATACATGTACATATCTTCACGAAAAAACAAAATGCAATAAATATCGTCCAAACTACATAGCCACTACATAGCTGTTAGCTAACTACTAATATATACAAGGATACGCAACCTTCTTATTGTTTCGAGTGTTTTTGTTTTGATTGAACTTATACAGTTACTGACTGCTCGAGTACATTTCAACCTAGTGTAGCGAATAAAATAAAAAAGCAAAGTGACGGTGAAAATTTATTGAAAAGTATTCTTTATCGGCCCATTTCACTTGTCCATATTCTTGGAAACCCGACAGAATAGTTTCGGGACCACAGTGAAATGAAGTCCTCTTAAATCGAAAGGGACAAAAGACGTGGACGGCAGGATTCGAACCTGCGCTCGGAAACCGAAACAGATTTCTAGTCTGTCGCCTTAACCGCTCGGCCACGTCCACAATCAAAATGATAAGGGATTTTACCACTCAAAAAGTAAATTAAATCAGCATTCTTTTAAAACATTTTATAGCCAAGGTGACTCATTATCTCATTGCATTTAGTACTGTCACTCTACTTAGATTGATTTAGTTTCCGTGTCATATCTAAAAAGAATTCATTTCCAAATTTTTACAGGGAAAGTCAAAAGCTCGATGAATGTGCTTCGTTGGTCGAATATTCATTTACACGAGTGAAGCAGTGTCCAAATTTATACATTTCTTTACACTTTCTTCTCCATCCTCCACGAATAAAACATTGAGCACATTTCTCCATCTTGACAAACTTTTCTTTAATGAATGTGGCTGATCCACCCTAGAGTCTATCCTTCCCAATCGTAAGCTGTCCTTTGTTGCAACAAAATCTTTTCAAAAACGAGGAATCCTGAAAACTCATAGCAAAACAACAAGCAATACAAAGTATTTAACATTCGGCTGATTCTCTTTGCAAGAGAATTCGTCAACTAACGTACGATGTTAACGTACCTTTTCTCAAGTATTCACATACAGCCAAATCAGCTAGAACAATCTTGTGCCAAGGCTGAAAATACTTTGGCCATTTGACAAAGATAGAGGTAACTGCTCAATAGAAACTCTGCAACGAGATAAAATTCTGTTCTTCAACACCATGAAGCAAACTATGTTATCAACGGGTGCTTCTTTACAAGGCAGGGAGAGTTTTGTTGGTCACTTACAAGGGTCTTGCTATTCACTAGAAAAACGAGAACTCTCAGAATTGAAACGTTGAATGGTTTGCCACAGTGTTATCAAAAAAAAATGTAGTAGCGCAAAAATTTCACTGAAACAACAAATAGTATGCAACAGTTCGTTTCCGATGTAAACTGCTATTAGAACTTGGACGACAGAGCAACTTGAGGTGCAACTGTCTCTGAGGTAAACAGGACACAATTATAAGCTGTACTTTTGTCGGGATGAAAAAGACAAGCGTCATACAGGGAAAAATTGTGTAGTTCGACTAACGAGGAAGGCAAGTATAGAAGATACAAACTTAGCTACTTTCAATCTATCTGCGTTCTATTTTGTGCACAAGTAACGGGTCACACTATTTGAAAAGCATAGACCATCAGTCTTTTTATCAGAGGGGCTACAAAACTTGAGGTTTGAAACAAACAAGAACGCTTCCTGAACAAAACTCTCCAAGTAAACTACGTTATTCTAATGCTCCAAAAGAAACCATATGAAAGTCAGTGCACTAAGCTTCTGTGTCTTTGTTGTTTCAGGATTGTCTAAGGCAACTTTATTGTTCACGCAACAGGTGTCGTATCGATGCCAAATGTCCACTGGAATTTTCAATCTTCTCTAAAAGTTATGAGCTGTAGAAAACAGTCCATAGATAAGTATAGAGAGAGCAGGTTTGTACTTGAGCCAGAGAACAAAAAGTCAGAGTTGCACAGCTTTTCTTTTTCGTTAACTTTAGGAAAAACAGACACATTTGATATCTTTTACTGGTATCCATCCACTCTCTGAGGAATGATTTCAGTCAACAGCAGATATGCATTGATTGCTGCTCAAGTGACATGCGCACCCTCAGTTCTCACAATTTTGGGTGGAAAAAGTGTGCATTGATCCCTCCATAGCAATTTTTTGCCAGTTAGCCGTTGTAGGTTCTATGATTTCAGAAAGAAAGGTCTATGTCGATATTTTAGAGCAACAAAGCCTACTTAAGTGTCAAGCTTCAAGTGCTACTTGGGGTTGTTGTACAGAAAATGCAAAGTTTTCGTTTTTTAGTAATATCCTTCGCCAAACCGTTTTCCTTTGCGCGAAACACTTGACTTGGATTTTGGAAGAGCCAGAACAACAATTTTCGGGTGAACTTCTTAAAGATTATGAAACTATAGGGAAGAAGAAGGCTGCAATTCTTGAGAGGGACCCCAAGGATTCCAATAGACCTTGTATGGCAGTACACGCTGCTGGGAGGAGAAGAGGCAGAGTGTGTGGTCACTTGAACACTTTTTGTTTCTACAGCTTTTTATTTAACAACTATATATATTTATGCAGGAGACACTTTCTGTGGATAGATGGGCAGATAGCACATGAAGTATCCTTTGTCAAACTGCTGAGCGAAGAAAGACAAGACGAAGAAAGCACCAATGGCAGTTTAAACTTTGCAGCAAATGTATCCCAACACATTGCCTTATTGCCAACTGCAGATATTTTGTTGAATACTTCCCCAGTCACACCAACGAGAACGAAGGAAATTGATTCGAATGGGACTGCAGATATTCCAGACTTTCATTCTTTCTCGGCTAACTGTGACCCTTGTATTCATGTAAGAGACATAACAAAGTGTGATACAGGATTACAGAGAAAGATGAAATGTGCTGAAGCCGTTAGAAATTGTAGCGAAGAGAGAAGTATTTCTGATATGGGAGGAAATGTGGAAGAAAAGACAGCTATTGAAGACTTGAAACATGCAAAGTCTGATAGTGCATTTGGAGAATTTTTCCGCATGGATAAGGAATTTCCATTACGATACAAGAGCGACACGAATCTGACTATGGGAAATGATGTAGAGCAGAACTTCTCAAATGACAAATTTTCGGAAGATAAGATTTTTGAAGAACACTCTTGTCCTGTTTCCATGATTCAACAATTATCTTTTGCTGACAAAACTCGAGATGAAGTTAGCCCAAGCCAGTTACATAGTACCTTAAAAAGTCATGTTCGTGGCAAGTTGAAATCTCTGCAGTTGAAATCCGAAAATATTTCTCGTTTGTTACTCCACAGAGGTAGACCTCGAAGTCCTACTATTGATGAACACAGTACAAGTAGCTTGCCAACACGTTTTTATAAAAGTAACGATGAACGCTCAATCAAGGAACCAAATATAGTCTCTTATCCAGTCTCATCGGAGATAAAGAGAGTCGCTGAACAGGAAAGTTTGGACAAGACTATCTTGGAACAGTCAGAAGAGTCTTCTGCAGTGTCCGAGAAGGAAGATCCTTCTTCATTAAATGTAGCTGCACGAACTGTTTTGGATCCTCATTTATCGGAAGCTGACAACGTTACGAGAACGGAACTAGAGGTACCCTATTCGGTGAATGGACACGAGGTTACTTTAACCACTCAATTTTCGGAAACTAAATTTTCGACCACTGAAGAAGGACACGACAATAATACGATAGCTGTATCTCCTACTGCAATTCCGGTTAGTTTCACTATGGAGAGAAATCAGCACAATGACGCTTGTTGCTGCACAATAAGCTGAATTTCATTCTATGAATCTTATTTGCACACGAAGTATTCTTTGTCTTTGACTTTTGAATATTTACGTCTTGATATTTATTTGCTGAAGCAGCAACAAGACTGAAATAAATGGAATGATTGACTATTTTTATGCGTCTTTTAGAAAAGTACGGTTCATTAGAGATCCTAAGTAGACTGTCCTCTACAAGCACTTGAAGTTTTCAATTTTTATGAGACACACTCAAATAAGTTAGATACTGAGAGACTTTTCAAACACTCATAGTCAAAAGTGTTGTGAACACAACAGCGTTTGTTCCTATAAGATTGACCAAAACCCTGGAACTCGAATACCGTGCTACTTGACAAATACAAACAAGGCCTTTTACCACTTAAACAAGTTACTTGAAAAAAGGTTTACCTCAAGACAGGTAAAGTCTTAGTATTCTAATGAACAGCAAAGTAATCTATTGAAGGTCAAAATATCAAAATTTTGTTGGCTGCAAAAGATCTCGCCAACCCTCGCAGTTTGATTATGGCCTTTGCAGCTTCTTGTTCTGTTATTCTCAGGGCAACTTGTAAAAGGAAATGTTTGATATGCCCTATCCAGAATAGTAAAATTGCTGACACAGTCTCTCGTAGCTCGAGTACAAGGTACAGAATTAGAAATCTATACGTTACGAGTTGTGGAAGAGAAACCAAACAAACAGAGATAGCAGATTCTATCAGAAGAATGGCGCAATCAGACAACTCTGATGACAGAGCAAAGGTATTGCTAAGATTGCACTACTTTTCTCACGAGTCGATTGTTTGACTCGTTTCTTTTAGGCTGTGACTCATTGTCGAAAATTGCCGAGTCAGGAACGCTTGGAAATACTTCTGAGTTTAGCAAAGGATGAAAGTCTCAATGTAAGGTATTCGGCAATATCGCAGCTATCCTCCGTGGGAATGGAGAATCCAAGAAGAACCTTTGACAAGATTCGTGAAGTATTACAGGAAGAGAAAGAGGCCACTCTGATTGGTGCTGCAGCAGATGTTTTATTTAGCTTGCAAGTTCCAGAAGTCTTTGATGAGCTTGTGGCCTTGTATGAGAAAACTTCCGATTGGATAGTGAGATTAAGTATCGTTGCTGGTATTGGAGAGTTGAAACATCCTCGCTCATTTGAATTTTTAGCTGAAGCACTTTGTTCTCAAGATGATCTGGTTATATCGACTGCAATAGGAGCGTTGGGAGAGTTGGGAGATAAGAGGGCTCTTGAATTGCTTGAGCCTTTGTTGAACTCAAGTGATCCTACTATTAGGGATCGTGCTTTCAATAATATTCAGCGTTTAAAGGAAACTTAAAGGCCGTTTAAACATTTGATTGTTTCTTGACGTTAAAAGTTAACGTTCTCTCCACAAATATTTTCGGTATAAATGACTTTTTAAGTTTATTGATATGAATTTTAGTTCATAAATAAGAAAACTGTTCAGAACAAATGATAATTGTTAGATGGCTCAAGTCTGTTTGTTTTCCAAGCTTTTTCTTCAAGTCTTCATGAAATAACAATTTCATTTATGGATTTGCCGTCGATCATTGGATGAATCACATGAAGGCGACGTCAGTAACCAGGAAAGGCATCCATGACAAGTCATTGGTTGAAGAGCTTTTGCCAGATAATGTTGCTGCAGGAGTGAAACGAAAGCAGTCTAAGAAGCGCAGGAGATTAGAAGAAAGATCGGAAGAAGGGGGATTGGAGCCTGAAGCCCAACTCGTTGCGTTTCAGCAGCGTTACGAGATAGCTGATGAAGAAAGAAAATCTAAGAAGCAACCATTCGTCGAGGGAATTTCATCTATTGGGAGTGCTCTGGATAGCGCCTCATCAGACGAAGAGGAAGAAGAAGATATGAGGAGCTTAGGGAGCAGGAGCGTCGTAGGTGGTGAAGATTATGGTTTGACGGAGGAAGAAGAACGTTGTCTGCAACTGTTCGAGTCGGAGAATTATTTAAAGAAGGATGAAAGTTTCTCCACAGAAGGACCGACGTTAGCTTCACTTATCTTGCAAAGAATGGAAGAATTTGAAGCTTCGAAGAGAGGAGAGAATCAGAGTTTGAGCCATAGCAGTGCAGTTCCTCCCAACGTTCGTGAACTCTATTGCAAAGTAGGCGATGTATTGAAACATTATCACTCTGGAAAGTTACCAAAGGCTGTGAAAATGTTGCCTTCTGTTGCAAGTTGGTATCAGCTTTTGAGTTACACAAGACCAAGTGAATGGAGCACGGCTTCTGTTTATGTTATGACGAAATTATTTATTGCCAATTTAAAAAGCAACGAGGCGCAACGTTTCTGTTCTTGGATTTTATTGCCTCGTGTCCATGAAGAGATAATGAAGCGAAAGAAACTAAATTTTCACTTTTATCAGGCATTGAAGAAAGCTTTATTCAAACCAGAAGCTTTCTTCAAGGGTATTATTTTTCCTCTTTGTGAAAGTGGAGAATGTACAGCACGTGAAGCTACTATACTTGGCTCGATTCTCCTCAAGTCATCCATACCTGTATTGCATTCAGCCTCTTGTCTATTGAAACTTTCTTCATTTTTGTATTCACCAGCTGTGGTGATATTCATTCGCATTCTTCTTGAGAAGAAATATGCCCTTCCGTCGAAAGTTATCGACAGTGTCTATCAATTTTTTCTTTCTAAACAGTCAGAAAAAAGTCAAAGCATGCCAGTGTTATGGCACCATGCACTTCTTGTTTTTGTACGCTTCTATCATGAGACTCTTACTGTAGAACAAAGAAAACAACTAAGAACCTTGGTGACCAGACAATCACATCCAGGCGTAACCCCGGAAATCAAATCGATACTTTCTGCATCAGTAAGTAGCTTAGACAACGTGAATAATAGAGATGTCATGAATTTATAGAAAGAGAGAAAAATTTACGTATTTCTTTAAAAAAAGGCTTCAGTTTGTATTATGGAATGTTGAAAACCTCAACGACAAAGACTTTTGTACTACTATTATGCCAGTCCAATGGACACACAAAATGGATGGAGGACGTGAATTTCATTTCTCTGTTAGAATAAGAACCTTCTTTTGAGGGAGTTTCGTCGAGGCCGGCGAGGTTTTTGAATGACTTGGAAAGTTATGGTCTGTTTAGGAAGCCAGTAGACAGGAAAACCAAGTGAGTTTTCCTGGAGAAACTCGAAAAAAGAGGAGGAAGTATACTAACAGTACTGACTTGAGTGAACTGAACGTCGTACTTTTGAGTGACAGTCATTTGTTGTAGAAGCAGTTGTAATAGTTCTCTCCGTTATTCTGACAGTAATAGTCGTTTTGCTGCAAACTTAACTTTTGATATGACCGGAGGGAAAGAAAAAAGTTTCAACTCTCAAGTAGCTGTTTTGAAACCAAGACCACAACGCCCACAAAACAAGATGGTACCCCCAAGGTCAACAAGGTTCGTAGTAGCAACCCATCCTTTGTTATTGAAAAATATTCAAAGTATATTGTTGTAGTTCAACTTTGTTCACGAAAGACTTATCAGGAAAGGTAGACTGTTGTGTTTCCGAAGAGGAGTGCAATTGTTTTCCTTGGGTTCAGTACAATGACTTTTATGCGGTTTCCTTTTCTCCTCCAAGAAGAGTCACCAATCCTATTGTTAGGGACAAACGTTTTTTAGTTGACGGAGCGGATCACTCGGATACCTTTGCTATAATTAGAAACGATAGACAGGATATATTTTTCTACAACACGGAAGCTTATTCTTCTAGTGGAGAAGCGGAATTGGATTACATGATTATGTTTGCGTGATTGTCTAGAAAAGGCCTTTATGGCTTGGTTTTTTACTTTTGGCTATTTTGTTGCCGTTGACCTTTATGGGAGGGTTTCTAATTGTATAAAGGACATCGTTTTAACCAAAGCTTCCAATCCCATGATGAGGTCATGTACCAAGAGGTATAAGTTTGCACTAGTGAGATTATTCTTGTGAAAGAATGGCTCTCCTAACAGTTATCGAGTTGAAGTTGACTAGAGCGAAAGAAATATCCGTGTTCTCCACAACTGCACTCACTGATTCTAATGAACTTGTATGGCTTTGTGGAAAATTCTCAACTTTCCCTAAAAGTTCTAAAGAGTCTCCTTGGTAGGAAACAACAGAACTTGAGACCATTTGGTATTTATTTGTAACAAACAAGAAAATTCATTCCCAAACTACATTTGGCGCCTTGAAACCAATTCAAACACGATGTCAAAGGCTGTTGTTGAACTTGACGAACAACTTGCACAAATAGAACAAGACCTTGACTTAATAACCACCAGGTTTAAAACGGAATTTGACAAAATTTACAAAAGTACAGAATCAATATCTATCAATCCAATCTCTATCTCTGCAAGGATAAAAAAGCTTCACAGAGAATTCTTAGATTTGTTAATAAGCTTCGAGAACATGATCAAGGAAAAGCATCAGTTGCAAGAATATATTCACAAGAAACTTATTGGAGACACAAATAATATCTTGGACCGTGCATTCAAGCAACTTGTACAGCAGCAACAAAGTTCTCCCAACTGGGAGACTGCAAACAGAAACTGGGAGGCGTGGAACCAAAACTTGAGAAAATATTTTCAACTTTATGCATCTGCTGATGCGTTGGAAGATAATACTGACATCAACAGCAACTTGGAACTGGAAACAATGAAAGCTGATGCCTTTGTTTTTGTCGACAATGAAGGAAAGAAACAAGAATACCTTAAAAACAGCGTCAAAGAAGAACAATATCAAGAAAAGAAAATAGAAAAAGAGTATCCATTCGCTCCCATAGCAAAAAGCGCCTTTCAACGACTTCCACGAAATCTTCGCACAAAGGCATCATTAGAAGAACTTAACCTTCATTATGAAAAAGTGTGGAAAATAATAGTGTCAAAAGGTGGAGAGCCTATACCAACTACTCAAATACTTAAACATATCGGAGAAGACAAAAAAGAAATTCTTGACGTACTTAGGGGTTTAGCAGTCATTAGTTTCACTATGGAGGGTTGGATTCTAACCAGGAAGAAAAATAAAACTTGAAAAAGTAGTTTACTCCTTCTTTCTTCTCTTCGTTCTTTCACTATCTTGAGTTGTCTCTTCTCGTGTTTCGCCTTTTTCTTCTTCAAAAGTCTTATCTGTCAACTGCCCCTCTTCTGTTTCAGCCTTTTCTTCATCGCTCTGCTTTTCCTCGGCTTCATCAACTGTGCCTTCTTCAGGTGGTAACTGACCTAACTCTCTAAGCTTCCTTAAAAGATTATCTGGAATAGGATCGTCCCACCAGATGGGTCCACCGTCTCCTGAAGCACAAGAAATGCAACCTGTAAGAACATTCGGCGTTATTTGTCCATGTCTGTCCTTTAAAGGTACTCTACAAACTCCAGCGGTTCTAAAATTGGTGTTGGTTTTGGAAATGACCGCAAGCGAACATAAATTCTCATATCCAGGCTTTCGCCACTTGGAGATCAAATTGGCGTCAACCACTTTCTCCTTCACAAGAAAGTCAAAAAGCTCCTTTGATATAGCTTTCTCTTTATAGTATAAATTAAAGATAAAACGGTTCTTCTTCCAGTGAAGTTTATGAACCTTCCACGTGAGTTCGTTTCTCATCTTGTCCTCCATAGTATCATTCATAATTTCACGCATTTCGTCTTCGAACTTTTCTAGTTGCGTTTCTATCAACTCAAAACCTTTTGGTAACTTTTTCTGTCGTATTCTGTGCCGCCACGACATGGAGTGAATATTCCTCTAACAACAAATCTCCAAATCCAAAATCATAAAGTTTCTAAGAATGAATTGCGCCTTCTTGACTAGCTGTGATTGTGTTTTGCGAAGAAACTGGTTCAGGAGTTTCTCCGTCAATAGAAAGTTTACAAGAAATATAAAATCGTTGAAGAGGATTTATCTGGTGGGATAGTGTTCTTTGTTGTTTCTTTTGTTCAACTTAGCGTAAGACAGTCGATACAAGCAGATTCATCCCAAGTCGACAAGACTTTGTTGGAGAGCGACTTGGCTTTGAAATATTTCCAGTATAAAGGTTTTCGTACTAGTTATATATTTAGTTCTCAAAACTCTGAGACTAGTGACAAGTTAGCTATTGTATGTGTTCATGGTTTTGGCGCAACCTGTGGACACTGGAAACACAATATTCCTTATTTAAGCAAAGTATTCGGGTCTGTCTATGCAGTAGACCTGTTAGGTTTTGGCGCAAGTGACAAACCAAGTCCAGTTCGTACTTCTGTTGCCTATACCTTTGAAGAATGGGCAGCACAGGTAAACGCTTTTGTAAAGGAAGTTGTTCAGAAACCTGTTATTCTTATCGCCAACTCTATCGGTTGTATTGTAGCAATGCAAGCTGCTGTAGAATCTCCGGAAAACTATATTGGACTCGTTGCGTTGAATCCATCTCTTCGTTTACTTTCTAAAAAGAAGCGTAGAGGACTGAAAGCTTTGTTTGCAACTTGTATTGCAGCTCTTCTACGCTTCCAACCTGTTAGTACAGTATTTTTTAAACTCTTGACCAGAGAAACAGTTATTCGTAGAATATTGGAGCAAGCTTACTACGACAAAAGCAGAGTAAGTGAGTCGTTGGTGAAAATGTTGTGGAAACCTTCCAAGGAGCCAGGTGCTCAGGAAGTTTTTGTTGAGGTATTCTCTGTTTTTGTATAAAGTTGTTGTTTGCTCAAACGAACACATAGTTTACCAACTACAGTGAAGGAGCCACTCCTGAGGAAGTATGATTTCCGTGTCTGAGCTATTCCTTTTACTAAAAAACTTGTAGCTTCTAGATAAGTTAAGATTGCCAGTGGCTATTCTTTGGGGTGAGAACGATCCTTGGGAGCCAGTGACTTTGGGAATGTAAGTTTGAAACCAATACTGTTAAAGAATTATGTTCTCAAGCATTCGTTTGTTAGGAATCTGAAACAATTTCCGTGTGTCAGACGATTTATCACACTTCCTAAAGTGGGTCATTGTCCTCACGATGAAGCACCTGAAGTTGTAAATCCTCTTCTTGAAGATACAATAAAGGACTTTATGTCTTCTCGATAAAAACTCCAATCATTAGAGCTGTTTCTTTCTATCTGAAACTACGTTGCTTTTCTATCCATTCACAATGGCATTTGGTTCATGTTTTCCCAAAAAAAATACATAAAAGTATTTCACACCGAGTTAACAACTCTTGTTTAACACAAAGCTCCAAAACAAAATAAATAATTCTCTTCGTTTTATGTCTCTTGTCCAAGTTCTGCTTCCTCAAACCAGCCTGAATAAGTTTCATCATCTGTAAAACAAAGACTTCCATTTAAACCTTCTATGCTTATCGAGGCTCTCTCTGAAATCGATTTTTGATAACTATCACTATAGTCAGACTCTCTATCATCTCTTCCTACAACATTTTCATTACAGGTTTCATCAGGTTCCAATAAACACGTGGTACCAGAAACATTGTCGGATTGTGCATTCCTCAACTTTGCATTGCTTTCACACCATTCTGAAGAGACTTGATGAAATTCATATGAATCTCGCTTGCTTCTATGTGCTGAATGAACTTCCCATTCACTTGCTTGATAGGAAATCTCATCGTCACTAGAAACGGAATGAAAACTATATGAAGACTCAGATTCCTTTGGCAAATAGTCGGACTTTGAAAGACTCCATTCGCCCAAGTCTTCGTCGTCCTCTTCATTCACGTCTCCAATCACCCATGAAGGAATTTCATTCGGTTCCATCAAAGGAGATCGACTATTCAATTCGATTTGTCTCTCTTCATCAACTTGTTGAAATATTTCCATTTCATTGTCCGACCTCGAAATCATAGCATTAATGGTCTCCAGATCCGGAACTCGACTTTCATGTCCTTCACTAGATCGTTCTTCATCATCTTTCAAAAGCTCTCGCAATAATGCTTGACGATCAGAATCCTTGGAGGTTTCATTGAACATTCCAGCTCGAATGACTTTCTGTTCCATATCCTTCTTATATGAAGCCCGCTCAAGTATACGTTCTTCGATAGTATTCGCAGCAACAATTCGTAAAACAAGAACTTCCTTATCTTGACCAATGCGATGTGCACGGTCCTGTGCTTGCAAGTCCATTTGAGGATTCCAATCTGAATCAAAAATAATCACAGTATCTGCGCTCTGTAAATTAACACCTAAACCACCTGCTCGAGTGGTAAGCAGTAATACATGGTAAATAGTATCACTACGATTAAACTCTTCAACAATATTACGACGCATTTCAGACTTTGTTGAACCATCAAGTCTTAGAAAGTTTATGCCTCTGAAACGTAAAAGTCGCTCTTGTAAGTCAATCACTCTTGTCATTTGATTAAAAACCAACACGCGATGTCCTGTTCGAAGAAATTTTTGTAATAACATGTCAAACATATAAAACTTTCCTGAAGCCCTGAAAAGCTCCTCCGAATCTCTATTTCCTAACATCAACTCCTCCGAATAATCTTCGTAAAAGAGATATGGATGATTAGCCATTTTCCGCAACTGCATTGCAGGGTTTGATAAAAAATCATGTCTTCTTCTTCCTGAAAGGCCAGTAAATACAACCTTTTGTCCCCTAAGTATCCGACGATAAACCATTTTCTGCCAAGCGGAAATCTCACAAAGGATGACATGTTCCTGCTTAGTTGGCAGCTGATCACCCATACGAAGAACATCACTCTTGAGACGTCTCAACAAAAAGGGTCGAAGAACTTGATGAAGCCGTCGAATAATAAGCAACGTTTCTTCCTCCGATAAGTCTGCCTTTTCTCCAGGTATAGAAGCAAATGGAGCAGCAAACCAACTTTCAAAAGTTTCACTGCTCGAAAAAATATTTGGCAGAACAAAGTTCAGTAACGACCACAACTCTGACAACGAGTTCTGTAAGGGAGTTCCTGTCATCAAAAGTCTACTACGACTCTTAAACTGTTGACTCAAGATTGCCGTTATTCTACTCTCATGGTTTTTCATTCGATGACCTTCATCAACAATCAAATAATTCCATTCTACCTTTCCAAGCAAGTTCTTTCCCCTTGATACAAACTCAAATGTTGTTAAACAAACATTAAAGTTTAGTGGTTGTATAACAGTGTCATAGAGTGACTTTCTCTGTTTGCGGTCACCTTTGAATACAACGACATGAAGAGAAGGAGCCCATTTCTCGAATTCCAGTTCCCAATTACTTAGCGTCGAAAGTGGAACAACTATAAGGAACGGACCACTATTGTTCTTTTTCTCAACCAAATATGCCAATAGTGCAATAGCTTGAATAGTCTTTCCCAATCCCATTTCATCTGCTAAAATGCCATTCAGATGATTGACATATAATGAAACCAGCCATTGAAGCCCTTGAATTTGGTATTGCTTCAAAGTACCTCCTTGAAGAATAGTAGGTAACTCAGTTATTGGCTCTTTAATGGCATGAGCAATTTCATAATATGTTTGACAGTTTTCTCTACTAAGGACGTCTGTTTTGTTTGTTTCTTCCTTCTCAAGATAATGCTGACCATCATTCAAAGTTCCATCCCTTTGCTGCTTAACTACTGCGCCCAAGTGCCTTAAATATTCATCTGTCTGATTAAGAACCTGCAGTAACCTTTCGTTCTTTGTCTGACGAAGGAGGTTTACATAGCCTTCTTCATCGTTTTCTTTCAAGGCAATGATTCGACGACGTTCGGCTTCCTTCTCAGCCCTTTCAACTGCACGAGCCTTGTCTTCATGATAACGCAAAACTGAGCGAGCAACTGATCTCCTCAACCGATGAACATATTCTTTATGATACTGTCGAAAATTGTTTATATGACTCATTAGAGATGAAAGGAAAGACACAAAATTCTTCCGTTTCTCTCGTTCCTGAGCTTCCATTTCTTTCAACATAAAGCGTTCCATCTTCTCAGCTTCCTTCATAAGAGCACGAAATGATCGAAGTCTAGATTTGGAACCTAACTTGCCTTGTTCCTCAGCCATTCTCCTCTCTTCTAAAACTCGTCGACGTAGTTTTCGTTGTAAGACAACGAGATTTGCCTTTGAATATTGTATGCGCAAAGTCCTTTTTTGTGCACCCCAACGCTTGGAATCTTCCACAGAAGCATCTTCGTTACACTTGAAACTGGAAATTTCCGTCGCTAACTTGTTGGCGAATCTTCTGGAGAGAGTCGTTACCAATCTATCCGCTTCTTTTCTCAAAAAGGAGCTATCGAGCGGCGTTATATTGAGATCAGAAGAAAGCTTTTCAGCAGGAAAAGGCAGAGACTGAACAAAAACTTGCTGTCTCGTAAAATTCCTTTCTGGAGGCTTGCTCTTGTTGTTCATCTTCTCAACTTGCGGAATGGAACCGCTACCAATTGTCAACGCACGTGAAGCATTTAGAGTATCTTCTGGAAGTCTTCCACCTCTCTTCATTTCGTAAAATATTCGATACTGTACACGGAGCGCAAAGAGATGTCTAAAGGTCAAAATACTATTAGGGTATGGAACAGTATGAGCTTTGAGAAGTTTCATTAAGATGAAATACTTCGTCTCTTCGGAAGGTAAATTCCTTTTTCTTTGGCACTTCAACAATTCGATAACTCCAAACAATATCTTGGGCTTCAAAGGGAAACGATGAAGTCTGGAGGTTAAAATCGAACTCCTATTAACTGAATGCCTCTTCGTATCGTCAATTTGTCTCTGCATACTTTCGTTGAGATATTTAACATCATTCTTATTTACATCATTGCACTTGGAAGTTTGAGACAAATGACCTACAGGCATTACGGAGTCTACAATTTGTAACGGTAGAGAATTTTCTGCTTTCACATCAACGTTTGAGGTGCTTCCTTGAAGAGATACTTTAAGAGGCATCGAACTGAATTCTTGACGAAAAAGGTCTTTTTGCGCTTCTACTAACTTCCTATCCGGTTGTTGCAAAGAAGAAGTTTCAAAATCCTGAGGCAATATCCATTTTTGTCTCTTCAAGTTGTTCAAATTGCTATGCATAGTAGTCCCATCTGATAAGCTTGAGTTCCTCTCGAGTTTCATTGTCTGACTGGTTCGTAAATTTGAGGTTTCTTTGGATATACCAGAGTGTGACGATAGTTTCTCACCAATAAACTCACGTTTCCGTTTGGGGTGATACAAGTCTGAATAGTAAAGCTCATTCCTTTCATCCGTCTTGGGTCTGTTTTCCAAAAACACAGAGTTCCCAGTTGGGTCGGAGTTTTTCGAATAATAACCATAATCTGACATCTCATTTCTATGATTCAACGGTATGGTCTTTTTTCTGCTGGTGTCACTGTCAAGCGTCACGTGTGACTGTGCCTCTAAAGGTGGGGCATTTTTCTCAACTACGCAAGACTTCGATACGGTACTCTTCGTATTAGAGAAAACTTTTTGCGGCTTTGTAAGGTCCCCTTTATCATTGGTATTTTCTACTGCAGAATTTGTTTTCCAAGCATAAAATTCACCGGAAGAATTCTCAAAATGACTTGCACTGGAATGGTTGCGGTCCACTTCAAGTTCCAAAGAAAGCTCCTTTTCTTCATAATTTTGTCTGTTCAACTCTTTCTTGGTCTTATTAAGGGTCCCTGAGTTGAAAAAAGTTTCCAGCTGTTCATCTAGTGCGTCGAAAGAGGGTAGCTCAAAGTTTCCGCGTGAGTCAAATAATATGTCTTCATCAAGAAAGTCCTCCTTCCTTAATAAAATATTCCCATCAACTTGTTGGATTGACAGCTTTTCTTTCGTTTTTTCACCACTCATAAACGGCAAAGGAGCAATGACTTTAAACTGGTGCTCAATGCCGTTTAAGCCACCAACAATTAGCAATTCATGACAATTCGATGGGATGTCCGTTGAACCAAAAATTTTTGTTCTTTAGAAGATATGTGGTAGCTAGGAATTCATTTCAACCCTCAATAAATGACTTTGACACGATGAAAGTCTTTTAGTAACGAAGCAAAGGCTACTCTATTTATGAAGAGATACAGCATCTTTTCTCTTTTGAGAGGAATATATGTTGAACTAGTTTGGTGTTCAACTCCAAGATAAAGTAAACTGTTTGAACAGTGGTCGACCTTTGAATTGTTCATGTTATTCTCTTAGACTTTCGTAGATATTGAATGAAGATATTATTCGTCCTTGTGTCTAAGATAATTTCGTCCCTTGAAGAAGGAGTACCATGCTGAGTTGATATGGAAGAATAAAGCAACATTGCGATGTTTTGACATTATGAAGCCAGTCAATAAGCATTTTGATTCATACTAAGGGAAACTGAAGGATCATCAACCCGTTCTATGGCAGACAAACTAGTTTTTAGTATAGTGATTTGACATGACTGTTTGTAATAAAATGGTTGTCTTGTCTTTGACGAATATTACTTCAAGCAATTCGAATTCTAAGGAAATTCTGCTATCTGTTTCTTTAAAAATTCATTCTTTCTTTTGAAAATCATTTCGTTCGCAAGAATGTGTTATATAACACAGCCGTTTATCCATAGAATAGTATCAATGGAGTGATGACCTTTAGTAAGATTATATTCTGGCATTGAGATATCTTTCCATTATGCTCCATTGTGAAACCAAAGAAAAGCATAGCGAGTAAAATAAAGTGTATCAACTCGAAAGAGGGTCTCCTTGGGCCGCGCAATATACGGCAATTCGTGAAATGATTCAGGAATTGACGTCAAGAATTACGGCATTTAAGTCACTCTAGAACTCATACTCCTTGGACATGGAATGGTAAAGTAATCACAGCATCCATTGCTATGAAGTACTCAGCGCATATCACAGGTGTTTGATAATAACTTGTTATGACTCTGAAGACATCGGTTTACATAATTACAAATAAAGAAAAACTGCTCCTTCTTTCGCTGGCTGCTGTAACGGGTAGCTGTGGCCCAAGTGGGAGCGACGCGTAATGAGGAGGATGTGATTCTGAGGTTCAATTCTCATTGGCTCTCGTGGAGAACGCGCCCTCCGTTGGCTGTTGCTCTGGTAAAGTAGACTCAGCGAAGGCTAAATCTACTTTATCATTAGATGTTCGAGATCGCGTGAGGCCTGATAAAGGAGCAACGTAAAACGAACTGCAGTGGTGAAACGTGGGACGACGCTGTTCGAGAGAGCTTGTGAGATACGTTGGCCTTCGTACACATTCAACTATTACGTTTTGGGCAAGTAAATATAAACAGCCAAACCAAAAAAGTTGGACGAAAAAAATTTTTTTTTTCTAGTCCAAGAGTCATCCTATGAGGAATCTTCAATGACTAAAAGCCATAATCACGTCTTTTTATTGTCGTATATAAAAATATACAAATACTAGTCTAGTTCTTTTTCATTTTTTCACGTATAGAAAAATTCAAGTTGTACCAAGTAAAAAAATACACTCCAACAATGAGACAACGAACAAAGCAGGATCCTCCCAGTCAATATCAAATACATTTGAAATATGAGAAAACTTGCTACTTCGAATGCTCCGTTCCAAACTATTGTTATTTGATAACTAACAACCACCCTCCAAGAGAAACCAACGTAACGGTCAATACGGGAATAGTCAGTACAAATCCAACACGACAATAGTCCCACCAAGATATATATAAATCATTTTGTGCCAACACGTGCAGCCATAAAAGAGTTGCTAAGCTCCCAATAGGTGTGAACTTTGGACCCAGGTCACATCCTACAACGTTGGCATAAATCATTCCGCGATAACTTGTAGGATGAACATTGGCTTGATTGCTCTGTTGAATGGATATTGCCACAATGAGTACACTGGGAAGGTTGTTCATGATTGCAGAAACTATTGCAGATAAGAAACCTGTCCCTAAACTGGATACAATTATTCCATGTGATGATAAAATGGAAAGAAAGCGCGAAATCTGATACGTCACACCTGCGTTTCGTAATCCATAAACCACTAAATACATTCCAATACTGAAAAGAACTACATGCCATGGTGCATTTCTTAATACTTTTAGGACTGGAATAACACGTCCTTGAAATTTGTTGTACACTCTAAGGGCAGCTAATAATAGTATTACTGCACCAAATGCAGTAATTGCCCCAACGGGAACACCATACAATGTTGTAACAAAGTCTGCTATTAATAACAAGAATAAAACGGGGAATACCAAATAGAAAACAACCCTATCAACAACTACTGCTAAAGGCGAAGGGAGAATGTCTGCATCATATGATTTTGGCAAGTCACGGAAGAAGTATACCCATAGAGCTATTAATGAAGCCAATACAGAAATAATATCCACAAAAATCATCACTTTTGCATAAGTACCAAATGATAGCGAAAAGTAACTTGAACTAACAATATTAACTAGATTGGATATCATCAAAGGAAGGCTAGAAGTATCGGCAATGAAACCAACAGACATTATGAAAGCTCTTCTCTCGGAATATTCCATATTAAGAGAGTTGAGAATTTTAAGAACTATCGGAGTAAGTATCAGTGCAGTGCCGTCATTGGCAAAAAAAGCAGATACAAAAGCTCCTAGCAATATTAACAACGGAAATAGGATTACGACCTTCCCACGAGCTGCTTTTGCTAGTAGAATCGCAGTCCAGTGAAAGAACCCACACTCATCCAACAATAAAGATATAACTATCAACGATACAAAGGTAAGTGTTGCGTCCCATATGATGGAGAAAATGGTAACAATATTTTTGGGAACAGTAACTCCCGTAAACAGAGCCAGAGCTGCACCACCTAGAGCACTCCAGCCAATTCCCATGCCCCCAGGTTGCCAAATAACTAAAGTTATTGTGCACAAGAAGACTACGACAGCACCAACATAGTCCGAGTCTTCAAGGCTTTGAGTTGAAGAAGTCAATTGGTCTATTTGAATCTTCATTTTATTTGAAGAAATTGCGTACTTTTGTTACAAGTGACATCCCAAAACATATTCATTTACATGGCTGTGTTTTTCAGCAAACTAAGAGAACTTTGGTTTTTGCAGTCAACGCACTTGCAATTATCACCGCAAGGAACTCCCGCTTGGAAGCATTCACAGTATTTCTTTCTACAGTTGGACCTTTTGCAGTTACAGCCTCGGTGATGGGCTGCAACGCGCAACACCTGCCCTTCTTCCTATTGAAAGGTTCAACTGGAATATCCAATAAGAACACTTGAAACATACCGTAACAGCAGCAGTAGATTCCGATATTTTTGGAGAGAAAGCACGAGGATTGCGTTCAAGAGTACGTTCCCTTGCAGTTTTGACATGATTAGCATTATCTCCATTATTTTTGCAGCCGTTACACTTGCACTTGCTTGTGCAGTAAGAGCCCGAAGCGAAACATTCACAGTATAATTTAAGGCACTGACTTCTTTTGCAGTTGCACGGATTGCTTCCAACGTTCAATTTGTTGTTGAGAGTAAGCAACGGCTGTCTCGTTCTCCGGTAATTGTAAGATGTGCTGTTTTCAATCAAAAATGGAGTTGAACCTGACGCATCTTCGAGAATAGAAGAGGAACTTGACTCAAGATCTGGTGTACTGCTATCAAAGAGATCTAGTTCGTCTTTGAATTGCACGTTGCACGGATTGTCTCGCTCGGTCGACTCTGTGGAACTTGTTGTTCGTCGAGATTCCACACAGGTTTGCTTGTGTTCTGTCTCTCTCAAGGATTTGTTGCCTTCTGAGGCTTCCAAAGCCTGTTTTCTCTTCCATCTCAAGGTGATATTGCGTTTCAAGAAGTGCCTCTCATCTGTATGAAGTTTTGAAAAATCAAAAGCTCTCAATTCATTCGGACTTGAATTGCTCTTACGCAAAGAGGAAAACGTTTCTTCGATTGTTTCGTCATAATTGTCATCTGTTGGAGTTTCTTCAAAAATTTGATTCAATTTGGCTCGAGCTGATTCCAGTTCATTGCTGCCACTTATAGAGAAAGATCTATATGAAAAGCTTTGTACATGGGCATGCTTAGAGAAAGGAGAGCCAAAAGTCATTTGATGTATTGGAGTAACGCTGTTAATAGAAAAAAATGTATCTCTATTAGGCCTTTAAGGAAATAACGTTAAATATTAGGCTAATGCTTAAGACTTTCAATACCTTTCTGGGGTTAAGCCAGGATCCAAGATATATTTGTTCCCTATAGTATCCTCATCCAACTCATCATCCGGAGAATTAAACCAGGAACACTGTAAAGCTAAAGGGAAGAAAGACTCAGAGGTGATACTGCTATCAACCACATTGGACTTTGCTGGGGATGGTTTGACGGAAGAAGTTATAGGTGAAAGTTGCAAGTCTAGTCAAGTTATTGTTAGTTGCATAAAAGCTCCAAATTCTTGAACTTGTTACCTCCAAAAAGTAAGCTATTATCGCACTGCATTGAACTGTCGCAGTTTTCAACTGTAGAGAAACCTCCATACACGTCGTCCTTAGATATTGGCTCCATAAGAAAAGTCACTGATTTCTTTAAATTTTTCCTAAAATGATACCCTTAACAAAACGTTCCATGAAACCAAGTATATATAGAAATAATGTGGAGCAGTAATGAAGATTCAACAATGAGCTACAGGAAAAAGCTATACACCTATGAAGTTTTGCACAACTTTTGGAGGGAAATTTCTAGTTTGCCCTTTCGCGCCAATTTCGCCGATTGTCAAAAGATAATTGGTCAAATTGATGAGCAGATGAACCTCTGGATTCTGCAATTGAGCGATGGAGTCTCATGAAGATGACATATTTTTTCTGCCCCGCAAGTTTGACGATGGTGAGAATCTTAGATGAAGGTTTTAAATAACATGGTTTACCTTATTTGTAGTTGTACCGTCTACTCCTTCCTCCTCTTCCTCCTCATCTTCAGGAATAGAAGAAGTGAAGTTTGGCAGAGTTGGAAAAGGGAAAAGAACGAATCCTTCGATATTACAGGATAAGCCCAACAGGAGGCCTCGTGGTGGCTTAAAGGAAGATTCTAAAAAACTTCAAGACAATTGTTCGGAAGACGCCCTCGATAGAACTAAGAAGTTTCACGAGTTTGAGGGGCTCCTTTTGAAGCTTGAAGAAAATAGACGTCGTTTTAAACTTCTAGACGAAGTTGACGCAGCTCCTTGTGACCCTTTAGATAACTCTGTGCAGTTGGCTTCAACCAATAGTGAAAACCTGGACAACATTATTGTAAAATTGCAGTCAGCAAGTTTGAAAGAAGTTTTTTGCATTCGCAGGGTTGGTGGGTTTTTTATTTCTTTCGATAAATTGTCTATATCACCCATAGAGTACCACTATGAGGACGTTGCTTATGGCGTGCTGTAAAAGATGGGGTCTTTCAGAGTCGAACACTGTGCTGTATTTTGACGGGCGTGTAGTGAGTTCTGACAGTACAGCTGAGAGCCTTGAACTAGAAAATGACGATCTGATAGACGTTGTTTGTAACGGATAGTAGTTGTTTTTGTGTCTCTATTCTAAAACGGAAGGAATGAGTGAGTTCTTCTTGTCTTCCAACAAGGAAGTGAGCTGAAGATCCAACTTTAACAAAAGCAATTTGTCATTTCGGCGGTAATGCATTAGAAAAGAATGGTCGATGTTAGGATTGCGAGTGAAACCGATTTTGACTGTTGTGATAACCTTTTGGATAAAGTAAATACACACGACTTCTGTCAATGTCTTGAATTACTGTCCTCAGAACAGCTCAAGATTAACAACAGCTTTCTTGAGTGGCTTCAAGAAGCTTCCGCAGTCAACCGAAAACAAAGAATCTTGCAAGGAGCAGTTGCTTGTATTTTCCTATTTGTGCAACAGAATTACACAGGACCTTATGTTCATTTAGACGCTATGGAAAACTTTCCTTTGATTTCTCTAGCAAGGAACGTTAACTGCTCCGAGTTGGATATCGACGGTGAATTTTGTAATCGTTCAGTTCAATTTCCTGGACTACTACTAGTTCCCTATGTTTTACTTGTTGAAAACTACGAGTTATTTCTAGAATTTAAAGTAGGTATTGTTGTTGTATTCTCTTGATTGGTTCTAATTCTTGAAAAGTTTCTCGGTTGGTGGGCTTTTCGAACTTTAAGAGTATATCAAACCATTCTGAGTGGAAAGAGTCCAACGTTGGAGAAACACGCTCATAATTTAATTTCTCTATATATAGACCTAGAACAATTGGGACTAGAAACAAGTCACATTGCTGACCAAGTCTTTGAAAAGGTTGATTCCAACTTAGAGTCAGCATCTTTGCTGACTTGGAAACAAGATTTTCTTGACGAAAGTCTTCGTTGTATGTTTCTGTTAGAGATATTTCTTTTTCTTTGTTCTCATGAAAAGTACTCACTCGCAAAAAATGTTTTGGCTTTAAGTATGGATTGTATAGGTTTTTCGCTAAAGAGTACCGGAAAGCTTGGAAGAAGAATGAAATATCAAGAACGTTCTCTAGCACAGCTTTGGATTTCACATGAGTCCCGTTTTTCTCAAGAAGTTCTTCCAATAGCAAAAGACAAGTCTCGTGATTCGGCTATTCTCGTGCCACCAAATATTCCTTTAGTAGATTCAGATGCACTTGGAGGCATTATTTTTGATTCTGAGGACAGTGGAAGTCTTCCACTAAGTGATATAGAACAAGTACTTCTTATTATGAGTGCGTATTTATCGATGCAAAGTAGACCCAAAGGAGATAGTTTGTCGGATGAATTCGTCCTGTCAACTATCCAAAGGTTGATAACCGATTCTTCATGTAAGAACAGTAGTATAAGAAGCACAGTATTGATCATTCGAAACATTATGGAGGAAGACAAGGGAAGATATCAGGAACGAGTTTTGAAGCAATGGGAAGTCATTTCAGAGCTTTACACTCAAAATCAAGAACCAGATGCTTCAGAACGACTGCAATATATATTTTTATTACCGTTTCCTCCCCAAGTAGAACTTCAAAAGATGTTTGCTGTGTTTTTAGGAAAAATGGGACTTGTAAAGAATGCAATGGAAATATTTGAAAAATTACAACGCTGGGAAGAGTTGATTGAATGTTGTTGTCTCATAGGTCATGTCTCGAGAGCCATGTCGTTAATAGATGAAAGGCTCAGTCAAGAGCTGGATATAATATCCAAAGCTAGGCTTTATTGTATTCTGGGAGATTTGACACGTGATGAAAAACATTATAGGGAATCATGGAATATTAGCAATCGGAGATTTGCTCGTGCCATGCGTTCTTTGGGAAAGCTATATGTGAAGAATCATCAGTGGGAGTTAGCAATTGACTCATTTTTAGAAGCACTAGCAGTTAATGCTCTTTATCCGGATATTTGGTTTCTTCTCGGTTACTGTGCACAAAACAAAGGAGATCTTAATTTTGCAGCGAATGCGTTTACTAGAGTTGTCCAACAGGAGCCTGATAACGGGGAAGCTTGGAATAATTTAGCTTCAGTTTATGTTCAGTTGAAGAAGAAGAAGGAAGCTCTCTTTGCTTTGTCACAAGCTGTAAAGCACAAACGAGAATCTTGGAAGATATGGGAAAACTTGTTAATGGTGTCTCTTGTAGTGGAAGGAGAATTGGGCCATTCCTTAAATGCGTTAGAAGCTTTAGTGGAACTTCGCGGTCGGGATGGAATATATTCAGAGCAACTTGTCACTTTGGTTGAAAATGTCATCTCTGAAATGGTTCAAGAGAATGGAAATGAATTGTTATTGAGAATGTGCAAGAGAGTGTTGAAACTTGTGGGAAGAATTTCGAGTATGGTATCTTCAGATCCTAATGTATGGGAAGCATCTGCAAACTTGCATCACGCAGCTGGTTATTTTGAGCAGGAGATTGCAGATTTGCAGAAACAGGTAAATTCAATCAATCTTTATTGGAGAATTTTTTTACATTTTGTTGTTTGTGCACTTAGATAAGGTGTTTAAGTGGACGAGTGTGGTGGAATGATGAGAAATCGTTGGAAAAAATGTTGAAGGCTACTTTTCGTTTAAACATACTTTGCATCGATTCTGGTGACACCGTTTCTTGTTATTCGTCGAAATTACACACAAAGAAGATAATAGAAAAGTGCAAGGAACTTGAATTGACAAACGAGGCTGTACAACAGTTAGAGCATGATCTGGAAGCTTTAGAAACCAAACTTAGCAAATTGTCGGATTAAAGACTTGATTTGGCAGAGTTGCAAATGATAATGATGTAGAAAATGCGGAACTCGTCATTATTCGCATTCCGACTCAAATATAGTCGAAATCTTCTGATAGTCCAAAGTTTTTGTCAAACTCTGAGCTCGGTAAGCCGAACTTTGAGGTTACCCAACTTCTTATCGAGAAAATATTATCTGTCCAACGATTTGTTGCTTCCCAGGCTATATGAGAAACATTTCGAATCTCAGCAAGCACTTCGGGATCTGATTCTTTATAGATATCCAGTTGTTCTTGAATAAGCTTTAGCTTAGATTCCAACTCATTGATTTGCTCAATGAAGTGTGTCCTCTCTTCCTAATCACAATAGTGGGTGAGAATAGGTATTGCACTAGTAAGGCATACCGTGTCTTGATGAGAGTTGCGGAGCTCGTCGCGCCTTTGAAAAAGCTGTTGTCTTAATGCGTATTTTGCTTGTAGATGTTCAGTAAGAGAAGCTATTCTACAGCGTTTCTAAAAACTTTGAGAGTTTCGGCTTTCAAAAATAGTCGAAAACTCACCTTTTGTACAGCCTGGCTTGGAAGACACCAGTAGACTGTTTGTGTTCCACACTTATCACTGGATACCACATCGTCATCCACGAGGCTTTGAAGAACTTCCTTTACAGAAGGCAACACTGGACTCATCAACCTTCGAACTTTTTTCAGTAAGTCTGTACTTACCTATTCCCTTTTGCTTCGGGGCTACTTTCTCCAGTTCCTTCAGGGTAAAAAATGTTTTCTACACAAATATGAGTCATAACAATTCTTATGAGATTCTACTCACTGATTCTGTAAAAATTTCTAGCATACGGGTCCTTTTATCGTCAAAAGAGAGGCCTTTCTTCTTTGACATTCTTAACAATAGAAAATGCCAAGTTTCAAATTTGAAGAATTGGCGCCATGATTTTCGAAACTGAAGAAGGTTTGGTAGCACAAGGTCTTTTGAAAACTTACTCCAAACTCGAGACCTCTTTGAGCTCTCAACAGTTAACAATCAACCCTAGCTATATTTTTTTAAATGAAATTCGACTGTCAATGAACATAATTGGAAGGCTTCAAAAGTTTGTGGAATTAACTAGGTCAACAAACTCATCAGTGTTGCAAGTTGGTTTTGGAATCTTTCCAACTTTATTGAATTCTAAATAGGATTTAGGCTCTAGGAAACTCGTTGTGGCATGTAATCGTGCCTACTTTACAACTTTGTAGAGAATACGAAGAGAAGATGTTGAGACCCCGTCCTGGTCGTGAATGTTACCTTCGCCAAATATTTCGTCTTCAATCACAGATGCAATATATCAACGATGTATTCCACACTCTTCAATCATACTGTCTAACTATAGAACTTGGAAAACAATTCAATATTTCAGAGTCCATCCGTCTTTTGAACTTTCTTTATAGTCATCTCATAATGGAGGCTTCCGTATATGGACTGAATGATCCCAAGTCTCAAGTGTTCTTGAAAATCTTCTTGGATTGTCTAGTTCCTGTTTCGGAAATTGTTGATGGTCTATTGAGTAGAAGTTTATCTTCAGTGAGTTCGTATATCATCGGCTCTGGAAGGGAATGTTATACTCTCAGGGATTTGAAAATATTTGAAGCCATATCTTCTCGAATGGATGCCGTATTGAATGAATATATGATTTTATGTGCTTTAACTAAACCTAAATTGCTTGATCCCAAAGGAAAACCATTGCATGAGCTATTCAATGAAACTACAACCTTTCATATGTCTTTCAATAGCCTGATTTTATTTTCCTATAAATGGCGTGAAACAATCATCAACTGGTCAACGACAACTCTTCTAGAATTTCAGCAACACAATATGCATACCATTCTTGAATCGCGCAACGTTTTGGAAAGTTTAGATTCTCTACACCACGCAATATTTGGAGGACTAGACGATGGTTCCTTCAACAGCAGCACTAATTCTAACAAACTTTTGCAACATATGAATTCCTGTCATCTTTTAGGAACGTGTAATTATGAAACCTTTGAAAAAATGTTGCGGTTTTCCCAGCTCATAAAGATCAGTGCATTCATTTTGGGAAGGATGCGAAGGAAGTTGGTCAGTCGATTGGAAATGCGTACAGCATTTGAGATGCAACATTTCCTCAATGTGCTCTTAGACTTTCTACAAAAAGGCCAGTTTATGTGGTTTCAAAAGACACGACAAAAATTATCGTCAGCATTCAACTTGAACCAGTTTCATCATCTCTTAAACGAACACCATACCATTTGCAGTTCCTACTTGTTTTGTCGACAAAAAGAAAAGCCTATACATGATGTCATTTTAATGGCTCTTCAAAAAATCACACAGTTTGTGAAATACTGTCGCAGACTACCACCTCAGAGAAGAACATATAGAGACATTCAAAAACAGGAGCTTGCAATCCTCCAAGCTTATCAAAAGTCCTGCAACATGTTGTGTACTGTTCTGAGCTTTAAAAGAAATGAAAGTGACATCGATCCTTTACTAGTAGAAAATATGCGACAATTACTACTTAGGTGTAACTATTCTGAGTATTACTACCAAGAATGAGGCTTTTTGGCGACTGATATCAACAAGATTTGCAACCTGCATCCGAAACCTTCCACAAAGTGAACACCGAACGAAAGAAAGATGTCCATGCTCCTGTCTCAATACTAAAGAGCTTTTAGAAGCAATCTATACAACTACAAGAAACGACTGTCTCCAACTTCTTTCAGTGAGGCCATTCGAGATAAGATACAACGACCTTTTCGATTATCTACGATAACGATACTTTTTGAAATTGAACCACAAATGTAAAATACCTCTTTCGAAGCAACATTTAAAACCCTTCCTATGGGATCGTTCCCATTCACGATTTACGATCTTGAATGCAATATCCTGATAAGGTGGCCCAGCAGAAAACCGAATGATACAAATATCAGGATTATCTGTCTTCTCAACAACATAAGTTGGGGCTTTGGATGGATCAGCCAAGTTGGGATAAAAAATATTGAACTTGTAGCCTTGCACTGTCTTCGGTGGAGGATTATCATGATCATAATGGGTCTGATTGTACTTGTTCCATTCATATCCTGCAAGTACTCTATTGAAATATTTAGGCTTTCGTGGTTTGCTTGCATCCTCTGATGTGTATCTCGAAGAAGCACTCCCTTTCAATTCTACTTCATCCATAAAGATTTCTTCATCTTCCTCCAATCCTTTTGCTCGTTCTCGTTCCAAAAGCATCTCTTCCTTCTTTATATCTCCATTATCAATTGAATGGTTGGATATATTTGCATTGTCTAGCCGTTTCAACTGTGCAATAAAAACTTCGTCCATATCATGAATAGTTGGATCGTTGGGATTTGCTTGGAGCTTCTTGATGACTTCTTCAATACTCTCTTTTAGTTTGTGCAATTGATTGGAAGACAAGTCACTCGTTACATCACATCTGACATCATTTGGACGCTCTCTACTGACTAGAATTCGGTCAACGAGACTAACTTTTTGCCGTAAAAGTTGAATATGCTTCTTGCGCAAATAAAATTTCGATTTGAATATATCAATATTTTGAAGAAGAAATTCCCAATACTCCGTGTCAACTGCCGTACCCTCGCTTAGCTCCTTTTCGATAGCCAACTTCATCTCTTCCAACTCTTCGACAGTTTTCTCTTCGAGAAAAGCACACGCCTCCTGTATGACTTGAAAAGAGTCACCATTGTTGTTTGAACTCGGCTCTCGAGTGACCTGTTGCTCCAGTCTGGTTTTAACCAAATCAAGAACTGACAAGATATCAGACCAGTAGTCAGTAGGCGAAAACGGCAGCAAGTCAAAAACACTATTCCGACGTTTGCCTTTAGCTGTGGGCGTTGCCAAAGCAATGGCAAAACTTTTTTCGTCTTCAAGTTCGTCTCTCAACGATTTCAAACGCTCTACTGGAAGTTTCTCCAATAATGCATAAGGCGGGTTCAATAAAACGAACTTGGGATCCAGGTCAAGCCTCAAATTCTGTGCTAAAAGGTCAACGAGCTGAGGTCGACTTTCACTCAACCTTATTTCCTGCTTCTTCAAGTTCTGCTCGGCGTGAAATATTTCTTCAAGAAGTTCCCAATCCTCGTTATCTTCTTTCGCAGACTTGCTCGACGATAGTTCCTTTGCCTTGTCTTGCAACACTTTCCCTTGTTCCCTTAGCATTCTTCTTCTCTTAGCCCTTTCTAACTCCTGTCTTAGTTCCCACTGACGAAGCCTATCATCTTCTTCTGGCTGAATTTTCGTTTCTCCACGTTGTCGATGCTTCTCTTCCTTTTTTTTCCAAACAAAGGTATCCTGTTGAGTAGTACTTTTACTCATCATGGTTTGACAAATCTCCCAACGAAAATGGGAGGGAATAGAAACCATTTTATTGTTCAATGTCTTAGGGATATTAAAGACATATTGTCGTTTCAAGAGAAAGAGTTTGAAAATAATTAAGAGGAAGAAGCTGCGTTATCCAATTTTGATAAAGATATGAAAGAACAAAACAATCATGTTAAGAGAGCATCACATCAAGCCATTCTTTTTGATGAAATCTTGTTGCAAAATTTCAAACATGAAAATGGGGAATTTTCGAACATTTGGGAAACGAAACAAGTCACCTTTATCTATCAACTTTGATGAAGTCTCTTGCACTCAAGTTGAAAAGTGGTGGAAACAAAAGCCTTGCAATTCTTTGCCGAGTTTGAAGAAGATTAAGAAACAATCTACTTCATCTTACGACCAGTTGTACTTGGACGTGGGCCAGAAGGGTGCCACCAAAGCAACGAAATGCCGCCAATGTGGTTTCTTTTATACAAAAGGAGATGAATCAGATGAAAAACTTCACAAAAAAGTTCACGAGGAACGGTATTATCACAAGGTTCGTTGGCCCATCAAGGACAGTTCCATATCCTATATCAAAGAATATGAAGATGGCTTGGTTTGGCGGGGATATTTGAATGCCTCGTTATGCACAAGCAATAGTGTCAAAATTGTGAACTTATTACTCTCACTTTCTGAAGAGGAACTGGGAAAAGATAACACTTGTCTACAGAATGATAAGATCCAAATGTATGTTTACATTTCCAGAGAGTCTTGTAACGCTGCAGGCATGGTGCTAGTTGAACCGGTTGGTTCAGAATTCAACACAGCTGGTTTCATAGAATGTGGTATTCGTCGCATTTGGATATCCAGGCCCTTTCGAAGAAAACAAGTTGCAACCAAACTACTCGAAACTATTCGTATGACATTTATTACTAGCTTCCTCTATTCGAGAACTCAGTTACATTTTGGAGAACCTCTCACTGAAGATGGCAAAAAATTTGCAAAAGCCTATACAGACTGTGCTTCTTTCAAAACATATCTTCCAAAGTGAAATTCCCTATCAGTAGAATGTTGCTTCGGAAGAAGAAGATTGCATAGGCAACAAGGACAAGCTCAGTTCTTTGGAAATTATACCAGCTCCTATACAGTAAATTTCATCTCTATAAAATACAGCAAATTGGCCTGGTGCAATTCCGTTGTCTCTTGAATTCAACCACACCTTTGCTCTAGTTCCGTCATCCGAGGCCATTATGAAGCCTTGATGAAAGAAGTTGCCGTGTCTCAACTTGACCTGTGAACAGTAGATATCTTTCGATCATTCATTATTCGAATCCTTACCTGTACAGCCAACAATTCACTGGTACATATTCTCAGTGGAATATGCCAATGAACATTCTCTACTATGAAGCAATTTCTCTGCTTTTCCGGTGAATCATAATTACGGCTCACAAATACAGTATTCGATTCAACATCTTTTGTTAATACATACCAGGGACCGTTTGGTAAACGGAGACCTTTCCGCTGCCCTGGAGTATAAAACCAATAACCACAATGTTCCCCTACAACTTGTCCCTAAAGTGTTTCGTAGACCCGAATTTCTCAGATTATCATCAAAAAATAAATAGCCGATAATACCGTTTCCGCTTCTACGAGCTTTCCTGGTCGCGTACCCAAATGATGGCGAAGGAAATCATCAAACTTACAAATTCTTCTTCAGATATTTTTATCTTCCTTTTTGGAATGCATAAATACCTTGATTTGTCCCAGGAAGCAAATACCTTGAGAGTCTTTTCGAGATTGGGTAGCCAAATTCAACTCTCTTGCTATTGCCCTTACTTGTTCCTTTGTCAAATGACCAATTGGAAATACAACCTTTGCGAGTTGTCTCTGTAACAGATGCGCGAGAAAGTAAGTTTGATCTTTATGTGCATCTGCAGAAACCATAAGTTGAAATAGACCCGTTGATGGTTCCTTTTGAATACGAGCATAGTGTCCTTTCCATCTTATTCAGGCGCTCATATATTTGAGTCATGAACAACCATACAACTCACCTGATGCAATCTTTTGATATGTCTTCCCTATCGAATCCAGAAAAACTCCAAACTTTATCCGACTATTACACATCACATCTGGATTGGGTGTTCGACCAGCACGAGCTTCCGATATCGTATATTCAACCACCTTTTCAATCGTTCAACAAATAGTAATGTAATATTCTTTATTCATACTTGTTCCCAGTATTCCTTCTGTAAAGTCACTTGCTCCAGTTTCAAACCAAAGTGCTCACAAACTGCATTGGCGTAAACCAAGTCTTCTTCCCAAGGACACTTGCCTAAATGTGACAACTCATCTTCTAACCAAATGCGAAGATAAAAAGGTTTCACACGATAACCCTGTTCTAACAATCTACTTAAAGCTACTGAGGAGTCCACTCCTCCAGATAACAATACAGCAATCTCATCCTAAAACTTGACTCGGTTTCCTATCTTTTTATATCTATGGAAACTTACTTTCTCTGAATCTGTTGAATACTGATGGGAATCGGAACAAGATGGAGCACCCTCTGGTTTCTGTAACAAGTTACAGTGTTGTTGGATATATCGAAGCATGCCTTTAATTCCTCCCATACGTGAAGAAGATAGAATGGTTTCTAAACCAGCCTTTTGTATGATGACTTCTGCAGACAGTGTTTTCACTTGTTGGACAGCTGTGTCTTGCAGACCAGAGAGTAAAAGAAATAACAAGCCCTTTGCAACTTTGGAGTCCGCGAAGCCTCTCAGAAAAACTTTTTCGTTACGCAAAGTAACTTTAATATAAACAACGGAAGCACAGCCTGCTACTTTATGTTTCGAAATCCTTTCTTCCACTGGTAAGGTTTCAGTCAGACCATTTCCCCACTCCACTAGTTTCCAAAGTTTTGAACTCTTATCAGGACTTTGATAAAGATCTTGACAAAGATCTTCCAACTTTTTGGGTAAACATACTTCACTATGACTTGCAAGCGTTGTGAAAAGTTGAAAGGAACTTGTTTGCACACGTCTGCTTCGACAAAAGCTGCATTTCCTCGAGTACGTAGAAGGAAGCGTTAGAATTTGTTTCTTTCTTAAGTGATGTGTAATAGAATCTTTACAACGTTGAACAACAGTTCTTTCTAGAATAATAAAACGTTGCACACGACGCAAGGGAAAGTTGACCAATAAACAAGAAACGAAGCTCATTCGCCCATAAAGGAAAGAGGGGAAATGGGCTAGTATGGAAGAAGACAAGGTTTATTAGTTCCTCGATGGAGAGATGCAACAAGAACAAAAACTCAAGTTGCAGCTCAGTGGAAGATAATTCCATTGCTCTTGTTGAACAAAATGTGAAGTTGTGGAGTAAAATGAATGGAGCACATGGCAAAAAAACTCTCCAACTGAAGAGAATATTATGTCCAAACACATTGTAGTTGGTTGCCTAGCCTAGTACAAGATTTCATTGGCTTTTATTGTTAAAAAGATAAAAACTAGAATTTCATATTACAATGAGATGTTGCAAACACCCAAGATTTCCAGGAATAGGGTTGATGCATCAAACTCATATTGTGATGGTGTAATGGTTCGATATCGTTCACTATTGTATGTATTTCTTTGTCCTGCAAGAATTTAGAAAACTACAACTTGTCGAGTTTGGAAAACATTATATCTGGGTGTCTCTCATATTTTGCAGCCTGGTAACTATCCTCAATTGACTTTGTTATTATATGTTGGGATAATCTTGTGACAACTTAGTTTCTATTGTATAGGAGAATAGGAAATTCCAAAAAGTTTTCATTCTTACCTACAAGTTCAAACAGACTGAAACAAAACTGAGACAGGCCAAGGCAATTATTTTCAAACTATACGGTTAAAAGATGAGGGTTTCGAAACTGCTTTGAACTGTTGGCAGTAGTGTATAAAAGATTAAGCAGCAGTCGAGGGAAATCTTAGTATTTCTTTATTTATAGTTTCCAAACTATCTATGATACTTATGGCACTTCCAAACTTGTGTAAAGACAAATAGTGAAAACCGCTATCATGTTGACAAGTAATAAATAGAATAGATGCTCATGGGGAAAGGGTGGAGCGTTTCCCTATTTTGAAAGATAAATGATTGTATGGCGCCCTCTTTAAGTAAACTTTTGGTTTATCCTTCGGGAGTTTTAGTTCTGGGTACAACTGTTGTTCTCTGTGGTATGCAATATAGTAAGCTGCCACGGGAGGATATCCGACTGGGGAAGATTCTCTCTTTCTCAACAAGTACACCCGTGACACAGACAAACAACCAAGTGCAAGGAGAAGAGGAATATTCTAAAGAATGCGACTGTCTTCCTCTTTGGCAATGTATGACAAGTGGCCAAGACGACTGCTCTCGACTAGAACAGGAGTTGAGACTTTGCATGCAACGCAACAAGGTAGGAAAATATATTGAATACGGTGAAATATTCACGTTCTCGACCAGAAGCGTTCTGCTCAAGTATAGAGAAGAACGGTGAAGTGTGAAAATAAATAAAGTTGTTCTTAATTATTTCTACACGCACCCTCATTATCATCGTCCCCAGAAGTAACTTTTCTCCAGAAGCTAAATTCGATTGGATTCGAACTTACTCGAAGCTCACATGGATTTTCCTTTGCCCAAAACTTTTTATAATTATCTTCCCATTTGTCAATTGTCAGGTGCACGCATTGTTGGTGGTTGCAGAATGCCTAGTCAAAAAGAACAGAATAAAGGTATAAAAATATCAGCAGACGGTTACGCTCTTCGACTGAACGGCATTCGTCTGGACGTCGAGGGCAGCCTAGTGACTATGGTGGACGCAGACGACTTGAGAGCACTCATGTTCAAAGAGAGCCTGAAAGAAAAGTCAAAGCTGCACGACCCAAAATTCTTTAGAAACTATTATGAAGAGAACAAAGACTATTTCTATTATATGACGCATACGGAGAAGAAAATGTTTCTATCCTTGGAAGTTGCTCGAGAATACGCTTCTCTAGTGGGAAACGCTTTTCTACAGAAATATTTGGATAAAGTCATAGAACATGAACACGCATACTAAGAGAATGAGTTGTGTTGCTGGTTTGTGTTGTGTAGTATGTTGGTTCTGCTAAGGAGTCTGGAAATATGCTTCAGTCGGCTCCTTATTTGGTTTCTCTGTTTGTTTGTTTCTTTTACACAGTAGCTGTATCGGCTATTGTGTTGCTAGTAAATAAATAGAAACACTTGTGTCGAAACTGAGCAGTCTTTCCTTTATGCGTCATACGCGAGGTTTCAAACTACCTAAAAAGCGCTGTTTCTCTTGATGAGTTTGGAATCGTCCATGTCCAAATTTGCTTGAAGTATCGATAAACTTGAGATTGATTTCTTCTTGAGCATATCGACTAGTCTGTGTATACAACGACTTTCGCAGAGTAATAACGCGCTTTCTTGGTCCTAAAACAGAACCCCTAACCATTAGAAAGTCTTCATTCACTATACCATAATGAGGGAATCCGCCTATCGGAGTAATCGCCTTTTCGGTCAAATCAAACTCAGTACTCCCACTTTTCAAGTTGTTTCCTTTTGCTATGCGGTATATCTTCAGATTCATCTGTGTTCGATGATGATATCCATTTTGTCCTGCTCTAGGAACTGAGAACTGAATTCGTGCAGGATGCCATGCACCAATACAAGCCACTTTGCGCAAACCACGATGCGTCTTTCTAGGAAGTCTCGTAACTCCCCAACGATGAATAACTCCTTCAAAACCTTTGCCCTTTGTAACTCCAATAGCGTCAATCATTTCGTCCTTGGAGAAGACTTGGTCAACTGAAACAGTCTTCTCAAACAACCCTGTCGCAAAGTCTACCTTTTCTGCCACCGTTCCACCTTGAACACTTTTCAAAAACTATTCCTGATCGACAAGGGTTCATTTTACTCACCATTAACTTGAATTTCTGCAATATGTGCTTTCTTTTGTCCGATATTCAATTTTCTCATTTGTGTATGCACGAGAACACGAATAACTGAACAATATTTCTTCATTTTCTCCAAATCTCTCTTGATGGCTTCTCCACCTTGCTCGTATTTGACCTTTGCATATTTAGTGAAAGCCTTCTTTTTACTCTTATACCAATTCTTGTAAAAACGACGTTTGCACTCATCGCTCAAGTGTTCTGCCCATACTGTTTTCAAGGATCGAAGTCCCCTTGGAGTTTCAATATATCCAACGATACCGACGACGACCATAGGAGGTGCTTCAAGAATAGTAACAGCTTCAACCACTTCCTTTTTGTGAAGTTTGCTGCCAGGCTTATCTACATCACGAACAACATGGGTCATCCCAGCTTTATAACTTAGAAACCCAGTCAGGTGGCAAGGCTTTGATGAGTCATCTTTTGGAAATGCCTTTATCCGTCCACGTTGTCTCCTAGCCCTCTTTCTCGGAAGGAAACCCAAAGATCCGTGTCTTGGTCTCTCAAATTTTCTGTGCGACATGACCTACTCTCTATCAGAATACTGTGCTATAAACTACAAGTTGTACGGACTATGGAATGCCAAAGGGACTTTTGCACTCCCTTCAATCGACGACGACGCAAATGCGTTTTCCCTTTTTTCATATGAAATTGTTTCTCTTTTGGGTGATATGGCCAATCGTACGGATCCGTTGGCTATTCATGCACACGGTTTCGATCCACAGTTCTTGATAGATAAAATAACAAGAGAAAAAATATACCAATGCGCTTATTGGAAAGCAGAATGCTTTGGTTTGACTGCAGAAACATTGGTAGATAAGGCTGCAGAACTAACTTATGTGGGTGGGTTGTACGGTCCACTGAAGAAACCCACACCCTTTATCTGTCTCATCTTGAAACTTTTACAACTAAGTCCTGATAAGGAAATCATTCACCAATATTTGCAACAAAAGAAATTCAAATATCTAACTGCTTTGGCAGCTTTCTATTGGAGACTTGTGGGAAACGGAACGGACGTGTACCGTTGGTTGGAACCACTGTATGAAGACTTTAGAAAACTTCGAATTAGGAGAGAAAATAAATATGAACTCATTCACGTTGACGAATGTATTGACGAACTGCTTCAAAAAGAAGACGTATGTGATATAAAATTGCCTCGATTGCCCAATCGAAACGTCCTCATGGAAGATAGACTGCTTGCACCAAGGAAGAGTAAACTGGAACAAGAACTGGAAGAAGAATTGCAACAAACCGACCCAGCTATAGAGAAGCAAAGGTTATACTCAGAAAACGAACCACGGGAAGAAAGCCGGCAACCGACAGAGCCAAAAGTTTATCGGTCTTTGCGTTTCAGAGACCTACTGGTTCAGGCGAGTAACCGCACCAAGGGTCGTAATCTTATGGAGCAAGAAATACAACGCAAGTTGGAAGAATCTTCGGAAGAAGCTAGGTCTTTAGCAGAGTGGAATCGACTTCGCAAAGAACTTGGTTTGCAACCACTCAAGTGATGAAAACATCCCGTTTTTTCATATCTATTTATTTTCATACAAGAAAGCTTCAACCGTTATTCATTTTCGTTTCAAGTTATGAACCCCAACGTCGTTTTCCTAAGAGCAGAATTGTTTAGTAGCTTTCTTCTAAAAACTTTGTTACCTCTTGAACCAGGTCTCCTATTCTTTGGAAAAGAGGAAGATTTATCAGTAGTTTGACTTTGTTGATCAGTCAAGGTATCCACAATTTCTTCAGGAACTCTCAAATACCTTTTTCCTTGTCAAAAACAGAACAGGTTGTTGACGAAAAAGTACCTACTTGACAGTATTTCCTCGTACATAAATTTCGGCAATTTTCCAAAAGCGATCACCTTCTCGTGAAGTCCATACTACTTCTCTCAAGTTCAAGTTCATCCATGAGTCAATATTCACCAAGTGACCATTGTACGTGTCGCCACTCTTCAGTTCAACCAACTTGGGGTAGATAAGTTAGTAAAAGACAAAGGTAACTTCTCAACAGAACTAACCACTGGCTGACCTTGTGCAGCTTTCAATAAAGACAAGGGTAACTTTTCAAAAAACTAAACATATTTCCAAAGTGAGCCAATTTGTTACGTACCACCATATTGAATATTTCTTAGGATTATTCGCAACGAGTCGTCTTCGAAATGAAAAATCTATTTTATTCCATTTGAAAAACCAAAGCAGAAGCACCACCACCACCATTACAAATAGCCGAAACACCAATCTTTCCTTTTCGATGCTTTAGTGCATTTAACAAAGTTACAACTATTCGAGCACCACTGCAGCCGAGTGGGTGTCCTAAAGCTACAGCACCTCCAAATACATTCACTTTGGCAGGGTCCAGGCCTAATATCTTCATATTTGCTAATGCTACAACCGAAAAAGCCTCATTGATCTCAAACAAGTCAACGTCCTCTATACGGATACCGCCTGCATGTTTCAAGGCCTTGGGAATCGCCAGCGACGGTGCGACAGTAAACTCTTCTGGAGGACGCTCAGCATCACCAAAACCCAAAATTCTAGCAATTATCTTAACTCCCAACTCATTCGCCTTTTCTTCTGACATCACTACAACAGCTGCAGCTCCATCACTAATAGATGAGGCGTTAGCAGCTGTTACGGTTCCATCATTTTGGAAGACCGGACGTAAACTGGGAACTTTATCGTACTGAACTTTGGTATACTCTTCGTCATCGAGCACAAACTGCGTTCCCTTCCTCTTATCTTCAATTGGAACTCCTATAATCTCGTCTTTCACGAATCCACTTTCATTGGCCTCATGAGCTCTCTTATAACTAGAGATGGCAAAATGGTCTTGGTCTTCGCGAGTAAAGTTGTAGGTCTTTGCACAGAGTTCTGCAAAATTACCCATATGCTTATCCCCATATGGATCCCATAGTCCGTCTTTGATCATACCATCTACAAGCTCCCCATTTCCCATACGATACCCAAAACGCGCTACATAAAGAAACAGAGATTCAGGTGAATGGGCAAAGGTTACAAAGAGAAATACCTTTTGGCAGATAATAAGGAATCATTGACATATTTTCAAAGCCACCAGCCACAACAACATCTGCAATTCCCAGCCATATGTCTTGTACTGCTAACGCGATGGCACGAGAACCTGAAGCACACACTTTGTTCAACGTCATACAACAACAAGAAGGAGACAGCCCTGCTTCCAAAGCTGCTTGACGTGCAGGTGCCTGGCCTAAACCAGCATGGCAAACATTTCCCATATAACAATATTCAACCAAGGATGCTTCAACTTTTGCTGCTTCTAAAGCTCCTACGAACGCTTTCAGATATCACAAAATTGCTCTTCAAATCCGTTACCTTTTATGGCTATAGCACCTAGTTGTGTTGCAGGCACGCTAGAAAGCACACCTCCCATAGCACCTATTGGGGTTCTCACAGCGCTGACTATGACAGCACTACGTCCTTTTGGTATATCTAGTGTTTTCATATGGCGCCAATTTGCGTAGAAAAAAGAATTCTTTAAGAAAATGAAATTGGTTTGAGGATTGGCATTGATGATGATAGAACTTATATCCAAGCTATTTAGCGAGCCTTTGAAAGACTTGGAAATTTCCAGACAAGCATCAGTTGTAGGTACTTTTGAAGGTTGGGGAACTTCTCTGGCTTGGTTTGCTAATGTGGTTGGCAAGGGACCTACAGAATACAAGGAACAAATTGCAGACCTTCTCTTTGACGTCCAACAAGGTTTGGGTTTGAATATTGTTCGTTATAATATCGGTGGAGGAGAGAATCCCAATATTCGTGTGACACTTGAACCGAGAGCTTGTATCCCTGGTCTATATACAAGTGCCAATCAAGTTAGTTCTCTTTCACTTGAACAAGATGCCGGCCAGTTGTGGTTTCTTCAAGCAGCTGTGAAAAGAGGAGTTGACAAGTTGGAAGTATTTTCCAATTCCCCTCCCTATTTTATGACGAAGAGTGGTAGTGTAACAGGAGCAAGAATGTCATCGGAAAACAACTTGGTCGAGAACCAAGTGGACAATTTTGCAGAATATCTGTGTAGAAGTACTCAACTAATAGAGAATAGTTGTCATATCCAATGTGAAAGTATAGAACCATTCAATGAACCTCTGTCTAGTTGGTGGAAACTTGGAGGAAGACAAGAAGGTTGCTATTTTGACTGTCGTTTGCAAGAGAAAGTAATAGACAGTCTCTATCATCAGATTCGAAAATGGAACTTGGGCTATTGTATTGCCGCGCCAGATACTTACAGTGTAGAAGAGGCTAAAAGGCTTGTGAATAGTTATTCGTCACAAACGCTATCACAACTGAATCGTATCAATACGCACACTTACAATGCAAAGGGACGTAGGAATCTGTTGGATATGTGTTCCAAAAGACGTAAATTGTTATGGGTTTCAGAATATGGAGATAATGATGGTTCTGGCATAAGTCTTGCACAGACAATAATCTCTGATTTGAAGGAGCTTCATGCAAATGCTTGGATATATTGGCAAGCTGTGGAGGATTCTTCTGCTCCTCATTGGGGGTTTTTAGTTTGTAATCTTAATCAACCGACTGGAAATGATTCTTTCACTATTCAAAAGAAGTTTTATATCATGTTACAGTTTAGCAAGTTTATTCGTCCAGGCTTTCAGCAGATTGATATAGATGATGATACGACCGTGGCATTTCGGTCACCAGATGAAGCCAAAATTGTTTTAGTTCATGTACAGAGACAGTCGAACACATATCATCTTTGTTTCAAGGATTTTGATAGAGAAAGTTTTGCACAAATTTCCGTTTATCGAACGAGTTCACATGAGAATATGGAAAGAATTGGATTTTATCAACGATGGCCGTTGCAACGACGATTATCTTTGTCGATGGCAAACAACTCAGTTACCACTATTGTAGTATCTTAAATGTATTTTCACATTTGTTGAATAAAACTAACCATGTTGTTGATGGAGTTGGTTCCACTGAACGGTTATGTTTTGGCGCTGTCTCGTTCTCTAAACGATATACTGCAGTTTGTTTAGAACTCCTGAGAGCGCCAATAGTAATAATATAGACGAGAAAGTTCGCTATCCCGATTTCTACAGCAAAGTGGAATCTGGCATAGAAGGTTTTCTTCGTTACATTCGACGGTTTTATTTGTAAAGTGTCTGAAAATTTTAAACGTAAAGTTCGCTATACTCCTTTTTTTCTTATTCCAAAACAAATAGCTTTATAAATCATCTTTCGATATTTGTGTTTATTATATTACGAAGGAATGAGAATGGATAGTCGTCGGTCTCATCGCCAAGCTCCGATATCACGTTCAGTAGACCAAGTGTTTCCCAACCCTTCTTCTTCTATCAGAAAAGAACAAAGTGACCACTATGAAAGAGTTCCTAGTCAAAAAAGGGCACCCTATTTTTCCAAGAATAGTGAAAAGGAAGACAAGTCTTTTTATGAACAGTTGAGAAGACAACGTGAACAAGACGAAAATAGTGACTGGGAAGAGACACCTGGTTCCATAAAAGCACCTGTAGTTTTAGAAGATGAAGACATCGAGTTTTTGGATCAGTTAAAGAAGAAAAAGGAGGAGAGTTTTCGTTCACTAGATGAACAAGTGGAAAAGTTTAAGGAACGACGTCACAACACGGTATTATTAACTGCACAAGAACAGGTAACGAGAGAACGGGATACGGACTTCGGTTTTAGCAAAAGTATTTCTGTGCCAAGTGCAGGAAAGCGCAAGTTTGGAAGGCTACCAAGATATTTGAAAACGAAAGAGAAACGAGCCAAGTGCGAGTGTTTTTTTATTTACTTTTGTATACTGATATTGTTTCTATGATAGGGTTGAGTCAGCTGAGTCTTGTATTTTACCAAGTAAATACATTTTAGTTGTGAATTCAAATGATATTCATTAGATCTTTATTAGGTTTGATTCCGTATTCAAGCAATGGATCGGAAGAAGAGGAGGAATCACACAAGTCTCTCGGTGAGTAGCAGCCACGGAGAGCGTGTCCCGGTCACTTTTTGGATGAGAAAAAATGAGTGACGAAGATGACGTGTTGTGATCGAGACACGTTGTGATTTCCGTTCCATTTTCGTCAAAAATGTGATGAGCTGCTTTTGGGATATTTTTTCGAGGAAGTGAAGAGGGTCTGTAATACAAAAAGTGTATATATGGAGGATATTATATCCAATGGAATAGTAGATATAGAGTACTCCGATATATACCTCTCTACAGTATTATCACCTAATACGTTTTCTTTGTCTCTAAAAGGGACTCCTGTGGATTTGGAAAAAAGTGGGTCTCTTAATAACCTTTCAGATGCAACTGGGAGTCAGCATTCAGTAACTGGATATAGCTTTTTAGCTTTTGCTGAAAAATATTTGGACATGCCTAGCCAAAGGATGGACTATTATGATGGTTTGCCTTGTTCCCTTTCTTCTTCTACTTGTTCACCTACCACTAAAAATGTTCCTAAAACAACAGACCTCGGAGTATCTTATGTTTCTAGTTTATTTGGGAGTTGTGTTACAAATTGTGAGTGCGAGGAGGCAGAAATTAGTGAAGAGTTGCTTCTACAGGAGCAAACTAGTTTAGGAATAGAAAACAAGCATGATTATCATAAAGAAGAACAGTCAAAGAGTATAAACTATTCTCGAGTATCAGAATGTGATGTAGACAATGAACATGATTTGTATAATCATTGGAATAGGCAGGAGGATAACTAAGAAATACTCAACCAGTAAACAATAAAACTATTTATAAGATATTCAAGTCTTATTATCTAGACTGCTCTCATAACGACTGTTTTCAAACAGAAATTCATAAACAAAGCGATGTGCCCAAGTACTTCCAAAGTAAGATCGAAACAAGCTCATAGCAGGATCCTTCTCTGCTGAATATCGATCATATTCACATTGTAATTGCCAAATGATTGATCGAGACTTGTCATCTTCAACTGTTTGTTTTGCAAGTGTGATATACAAGTCTAAATATTCTCGAAAGGCAGGAAACAGTCTTTCGTAGATAGGTTTCGTGGAATCAAATCTACCAAACAACAACTCCTTTGAAAAAAACCGATTTTCATCATAAAAACGACTCGACATTCTTCCAGCAAGATCTGCATATCTTTCTCGAATGGGATGAAGTGGCTGTATATATTTATCAAGATAATACTGATCATTCATCAAAGGTTGAAAGTCCATAACACACAAGACATTTTTGCCCCCAAACGATAGAAAGTCTACCCCCAGTATAGGAAGTTCTAAACTCGATATTGGATACCATACTGCATTAAACACTTGAGCAGCAACTCCTGCATCCAAATAAGTTAAACGTATTTTTCGAAACTTTGGACACTGATAGCACCAAGATTCTATTCGAGCTGGCTAATAGTAAACAGCTAGAAGCAACTACAGAAACGGACCCCAAGTGGATTTCTTACCTTCTTGCTGCTTTGAGCACTTGCCAAAAACTCTGACAAAGGATAGTCTTCAACCGTTTCAAAAGAAGCAAATAAAGTATTCTGCATATCTTCTAAAAAAGGAGAATAAATCATAGGAATATCACTTCCTGCAACGGAGGTTTTCCACAACTTTCTATTCAAGGAACTGACAAGAGAATTGGAATCCCGAGTTTCTTCAGAAATACACTTGACTCTATAAGCTAAAGTATGGTTATTGCTGTAGTTGCCGAGTGGAGGACAAGAAGCACGGTTAAGTCCTCTTTGTTTGTGAGTCGTTGAAAAAATGTTCAAAACAAACATCGTGAATAATAGAATGCAATCTGCTCAGATTGCCTAAATCTTATCTTTGTTCAATATGTTTTTGTATAGTTAAATAATGCAGGAAATCATATAGAAAATTGCTATTGAAGAAGATACATTCCAAAGAATGTGTGGAAGAGTCTGCTTTGAATCTTAATAGCAGCTTATATATAAAGGATAGTAACGTAATCAACTATCTATAGTGTGGTTGTATTGTTCCAAACAAACAAAAGATTTGAATACATCATCTTCTAAAGTGACCGTTATCCAAATCAGTCTGAAAAGAATGTGTCATGCAGATCATTGCGCATCTCCTTCTTAAGCAATACTGCAACTTGTTTGTTTTCCTTCTTCCGTGGACTCTTGTAAGAATATGAAGGTATCATGTATGTGTTACCTTTGGAGAATGATGAACTTCAATTCTTTATCTAAGAAACACTGGAAAACACAACCAATTTCGAAGCGTTCGAATGGAAACCAACTTCAGATACTTTCCTTGGCTATTCCGAAGAGTTTATCCAGTAACTATCACTTCATGGAAAGGAAACTAAAGTTTTTATTCGATAATCTCCAAACAAAGCTATTCTTTTTACAACGGGAACTCGACAGACTATGGAAAGAACAACCTTTGGACCCCCTCTATTCCAAAAAACAGCCTTTCTTTCCTCAAGGATTTCGTATTCTTGTTTTATCTTTTTGTTTGACAATTCTAGTAGTGAAGTTTGCGCAGTTACTATATGATTGGGTATCTTTCATCCTATCGATATTTATTTCTGTCTTCCATACTCCACGTGTAGGCAAGAACAAGACGTCTTCTAAAGTCAATTCTAATATCCAAATGAATAACAATACAACTCGATTCCGTAATGATAGCTTTACACGTGTTTCCACAATTCAACAAGAAAAAGAAACTGTCGAATGGCTCAATGCATCGTTGAAAAGATGTTGGAAGTTGTTCAATGACATTCTGCAACCCGAGGCAATGAAGATATTACAAAAAGTTATTCAAGACGCACTCGAAGAAGAAAGAAGACCTCTGTTGCAATCCATAGATGTAGAAAGTTTTGAATTGGGAGGACGTTCACCTCTAATTTTTGGTGTAGAAGCTCTTCCCACCAGATCCGATACTGAACTTGTATATGAGTTCGATTTTAGATATGACGGTGACGCAAAACTATTGTTATTGGTTCGTATCGGACCTTTTCGACGATTTTGTCTTCATATTCCAGTGATAGTTAGTGGACTGGATGTCGATGCTACTTTTCGAGTTCATTTGCGTCTAACACAAGAGAAACCATTCATAGGAGACATATCTTTAGCACTTGTCAGACAACCTAGGTTGAGTTTAGTGCTCAAGCCATTCAAGATTGTTGATATCATGGAAGTTCCTGGTTTGAGAGTCTTTTTGCGAAGACTATTAACCGTTGAAATTCCAAAGCGTATGGTACTGCCCAATCGTCTGATAGTTTTCAAGTTGCAGCCGGATTCGAATATTAAAAGATCTATTTTGAAGAAATTATCAAAGAAGAAGAAGGACTATGTCGGTGTAGTAAATATTCTATTGTATGGAGCAGTTAGTCTCGTAGGAACCACGACTTTGGGTCTCTCCAACCCTTTTTGTCGTATTACAGTTGCAGACAATACTACTCGCAGTAAAAGTGACAAAAACACTTCTGAACTTGGACGCAAGGGCGATCCTGTTTGGAATCAACAGTTTGAAATGCTTGTTCGAGATCCAGAAAACGATTCCATTCTATTTGAAGTAATGGATCGTTATGGAATGCGATATCGTACTATTGGAACTTTTGAAGTAATGATTTCTTCGCTGGTTGAAGGAAAGAATACGGAGTTATGGGTTCCTTTACAAGAATCTGTAGGTTCCGATGGAAGACTTCATGTCTCATTGTATTATAGAAATTTTGTGGATGATATTTCCCTCTTTTCAGAATCGGTTGATGCTCTGTACATGAACGAGAATGAATATTCGGATGGAAATGCATCGGAAGCATTGGATAAGGATATCATAGAAAAGAATGATGGTAGTCTCAACGAAGAATCAAACGCAACTACTATCAACGGCTCCATATAGACTGTTGATGAAAGCCTAGAAAATATAGAACAATCGAACCAATATTCGTAGCCATTTATCTACATTTTCTAGTCTACAGTTGAATGACAACATCTATTCATCGTCATATTTATCTCAATGAATATAGTTTGGATATTGAATTGTTTCAAATGATCTAGTCGTATAAAGTTTGTCAGCTTTCTATTCGAAAACCACGGGACACAAACCTTTCAAACTTTCTAAAACAGGTATCATTGAATAATAGGAAACCATTGTTTGAACAAAAGACCCGATTACAGCAACCTTTTTGATGCGTTCCAAACATTAAGTGCTTAGTTGTGTCTCTCGTCGGTTGCCGTAAGGGTTCAAGTTTGAGGTAAATATCGGCCCAAATTAATATTGATACAGGCATGCTATTGCCAGCCTTTCTTTACCATCCCTTCTCTCATTACGTCCCTCTCCCATTTGCATGGTTTCTAGAAATTTGAGCTAATCCTTGTGATGTTCTAATTCACCCATTCGGTGTTATTGGATCCAACTCTATCCTTGGCTGTGTCGTTGTAAGATGCGTAGTGGCAACAGGTCGCCAAGGAAGGGAAACATAGAAGAAGTTGGCTTACTTTCAACTTCTAGAGGTAAAGCCACTCTGAATAAGAATATTCCAAGTCCCCAACAGTCTCGAAATATTCACGTACCGTCGTCTTCCAGTTTTAGAACCTTGTCAAAACTGTCTTCTCCAGCAGCTTCAGATGCTTTGAGGTTGGCAAGCGCTTTAGAAAGATTACAAGAGATAAAGAATAAGATTAACGGTTACAGACCAATATTTTTTCTTGATTTTGACGGAACTCTCGCAAACATTGTGTCCAATCCAGACATGGCTACATTAACAACCGAAATGCACGAAACTTTGAGACGTTTGGCAGAAAAGTATGCAGTAGCAATAATATCTGGCCGTTCTCGCAAGAAATTGAAGGAGTTAGTTGACCTACAAGGTGTTAGTGGCTTGTTATATGCTGGTAGTCATGGTTTTGACATTGGCGTTCCTTCAGACGAAGTTGGTGGAGATATATCGTACCATCCTAAGTTGGCTGAATCTTTTTTGCCGACTCTAAGAGAAGTTCGAATGAGAATTATGTCGGAAGTTTTACCCAAGTTTAAGGGAGTGACATTGGAGGATAACGCCTTTTCACTTTCTATTCACTACAGGAATATAGTCTCAAGAGATTCGGAGTCAGGAGATGTTCAAATGGAAGTGGACCGTTTGGAAAGTGAAATTGATAGAATCGTGGAACCGTTTCGAGACCAACTTGAGAAAACTTTTGGACGGAAAGTATTCGAAATTCGTCTCCTGCTCAACTGGAATAAAGGACAAGCGGTGCGTTGGTTACTGCATATCTTCAGTAAGGGAATTTCGGAATCATGGAATGATAAAGTGCCGCTAAATGAGAAGATTAAGGAGACCCAATTTTTGGCAGAGTATCAGGATCTTTCTCTTTCTTCTTCACCTCTCGAAAACATGGAAGAGATTTTCCTACAAAACAATCTCGAAACGCACAAGTCACAAGCCAGTTGGTATTCGGAAAGTAGTGACTCTCCCTTTTTTCCTTTGTATTTTGGTGACGATATAACAGATGAAGATGCTTTTCAAGTTCTTCAAGTAGAAAATGGAATTGGTATTGTGGTTACAGAAATATCTAGACCTACAGGTGCAAAGTACCGTTTAAGAAATCCCGATGAAGTACAACAATTTCTTGATAAATTTCTTACTGAATAAATTTCAACGAAAATGATCCATCTCACCCTAACTTTCTATCGAATTTATGGAAGCTTTCTTGCCTAATCGTTTTGGCGCCAAATGAATGCGTATGTAGAAAAATGCGATTTGTCATTGGACATTGATGACACGAATAGAAGACTCGTTTCATTTCATTGTTTTTGTCTTTTTCCTGAGAGGGATTGCATGTTTGGAACATCGACTCCACTCCTGAAAAGAAACAGACAGTATGTCAATGACAATACAGTAAGTCTTCTGTTGATAAATGGTTCTTCTTTGACTGACAATAACCAGGAACTCATTCCAATGATAACGACAAGAAGAAGGGGCAGTCTTGTCAAGAAAACTCTCTTTGCGGAGAATGATCTTGCAGAAAGTCGGAACTGTAGTCGACAAAGGCCTCCACAGAGAGCGTCAGCTGCTATGGCTCTAACAAACTGGAAAAATCAGATGTTTCTCGATGACGATGCAGAAGAGTCCACATTGTGTTCTTCTAGTGAGAATATGGCGAGAAAGAGAAGGAATTTGGGGAAACACACCAAAACAAAAACTTCGCTCTATATTCTTACTTTGCAGTTTCTAGACATGCTAAGACGGGAGGGTTTGGTTAACCTGAACAAAGCATCTATTTTACTTGGTGCAAAGAAGAGGCGACTTTACGATATTACTTGTGTTTTGTATGCCATGGGTGAGTACAAAAAATACTATGCTTTTTGGGTAATTGCAACTACATTTTTCAGGATGTGTCTGTAAGCCAAAGAAGAATTTTGTTGAGTATCGTCATATTGATCATCGAATTGCAGATAATAATATGGATTTCTCAAGCATGGTAAGTTTTTCACATCATAAGGGAGAATTTGGTGGTGAAGAATCAGCATACTTGTCAAGTAAGTTTCGTAATATTATTATCAGAATATCATATGTAAACAAAAAAATATCAAGATGCTGTTTCATTGAGCGAAATAGATGATGCTTTATATGAAATTTTGCGCAGCTGTTCGAGTGATTATAAGGATGATTACATTACAGTTGTTCTTTCAGGAATTGATATGAATAATATCAGTGTTACAAGAAACGAAGGCGACATAGTTGAAATCGAAGTAGTATTCTTAAATGACGATCCAACCAATACCATATTCTGGCAAGAGACTAGCGTCTACTACAAAAGTAACATCTGGCACAGAACCCAAATATCCGAAATAGAACTTGGCTTCCGTCCGATTCAAGAGTATCCTGAAGAAATGTTTTCAGGAGAGCATAGAAGTCGTCCTTTCACTGACTTGTATTTTAATGGACATCTTGAAACTCCTTTAGCTTCCATTCCAATGGAGGACAATGCAGCATATTTGGATAATGTTGAACTTTCTCAGGACTTGCTAATATCACTACTGGATGATGAACAAAGGGATTCGTCCAGTGGTGAATTTGATACATTTCATTGCATAACCACTCCCGTCAAATCAAAGGCTTGAAGGTTTTTATTCAGAATGATGTGTTTGTTTGATAATGGTAATACTGAAGTGACACCGACATTGTAAAGAAGCTAGTTTCTCCATTGCAACTATCGATATCTCTCTCATTGGCTTGTATTTGGTGTTCATATAACTCCCAATGACTCTCTTACAAAAGGGTCATCCTCTTCATTGCTTTGTTCATGAAGCTGTTGCTGCTGTATTCAGTTATACTATCAATTTTGGTTCAATAAAGGCTAAGATAGACGTCAACTGAGAATATGGATTTGATATTTGAATTAGCTTGACTCGTTATTACAGAAATTTCAATGTAAAAATATTGTATGGAAACACAAGTATCATGTACCAGATGAAATTTCCCTTATGGGAACTCTTGATAGAGTCACAAAAACATTATCTCCGTATGCTTGGAAACAAGATTTTGCTAAACATTTTTATTGCTCATCTATCCTTTCTAGTCCATCAAGAATAGTCGTATTTAGTTGTAACTGTATCCTTAGATGGGGCATTCCAATCAGGTTATGATGCTTCCTATCAGTCTCCATCGTAAACTGTCCATCTTCAATATTGTCATCAAACTATATACAGAAAACAAAAAATATAAAAAAATTTATTAAATTTCCAAAGCAGCAAGTTCTGCTGCTGCTGTTGTTGTTGTTAGAACAAATACATTCTCTTCAGCTTACCAATTGTAATCGAATCTTTCAAATTATGTCCAACCTCTACTCGTTGGTTCATCAAGGCAGAGAACGACTTAACCAAGCGTACGAAACTGGAAAAGTTAGGACATTGTGCAAGTAAAATGATCAAAATTGAACCCTATTTATAGGCACATTCCTTGTTGACAGTGGAGCAACTGAAAAGTTTTGACGAAAATATCACTCAACACACCAAAGGTAGGTCCTTGTAACACGTGAACCAATCGTTTGTTCGATCTTATCAACGTTTGAGGCTTTCTTGAACAATCTTGTATCGCACTAAAACATAGTTACCCTTTTCTCATTACCGGTTTATCGGCCGCTGTCATATTCTATCCCTCCTTAAAAGGTAAGGTTCTGTTGTTATGGTATCTTTTGATGGAGTCTCAAAGTCTGCGAGTATGGGGAGCTAGAACTGCTTTTAGAAACTCTTTTGTCTTCGGCAGTATTACTGCAGTGTCCCTTTATCCTGACTTTAAACAAGGTGAGACGGAGGTTACGTTGCCAGTTAACGTTTCATACTCACTTTTACAGTGGTCCAGGGACTTGATAATGTATCTCAAGACACTAGTCAATAACATATTGTACTGATTATTCATAATAAAATGACAAAACTTTGTTGCGTTTCATAAATACGAGTCTTTAGATTGGAATGATGGATATGCATTGTTGTTCTTATTCTTATGATTGGAAGCTTCCTTCTGTGAGAAAAGATGGAAGAGGATCTTGAAAGGCTTTTGGAAGAAGAAAGTCGCCAAAAAGAACAAGAGGACTCACGAACATTGCAAGAATTCTATGAAGAAGGAAGTCGTGGACTAGATGAATACTGGACAGCGTTAGTTGGCAATCATGAGGACGACGAACTGGAAGCACTTTTAGAACAAGAATTGCAACAAAAGCAACTAGAAGATAGGCAACAAAGTCAACAATCTCTCAACTCATCAGGTTCCAAGGAAACGCTTCAGTCCAATGGCGTCGTCACTTCCTCCAACTCACCCTTGTCAGTAACGAAGCGAGTTTTTCAAGTTGAAGAATTTTCAGTGAAACCTTGTATGACCCATTCTGCAAGTGAATGGCGTGAAGATCCTGAACAACCTCCTTTGGCACTACAGTGGACGCAAGAAGAGTTAGATTTGTTCTGTCAACAAGCCGTCCGCTTAGGTCCCTTGGCACTAGAGCAGCCCTGGTTGCTGGCTAAATATATACCGTCCAAGAATGCTTTGGAGTGCTTATTACTTTATGAAGCTTTACGTCATGAACAATATGAGGTCAAACTTGTGTTACATCCCAATAAGTTTATCGTCCAAAAAGCGGCTCATCCTGTTACTTCCAAAAGTCATAAAGATACCATGCCAAGTTTGACTTGGGAACAACTTGTATGGCAATATCAGTGGTTGATATCTTCAGTTGTGAAAAGGGGTTTTCCTACACCTTCAGCGTTGAAATGCTACGAACCTTGGTCAGCTGATTTTTGGCTACGATTGAGTGTAAAGGAACGACGTTTATTAGCTCTCGTCGACTGGCATATATTATTAAGCTTTTGTAACACTATTCGTTCTTCAAATTGTCCGCCAGTTGTTGGAGCCGATCCTCGAGTGTTTATACGAATATTGGCCTACACCTGTGACTATATGCGATATATAACACGAATAGCGTTGTCATTTGCTGTTGCTCGTAGTAAAATGGAGGCTACTTCTTCACCCGTTGTTATGAATATGTATCACGTTTCACAAGCAATCGATATTGCTAATGAATATTATCGATATCGAGGAAATCATCGCTTTTATCTCGGAACCGAATGGATGAGACATTCGATTCGAGAGTATTCCTCTTCTTACGATATTCTCGAAAAGAATAAGGATAATCCTCTTCCTTTGGATAATTTTTACGATTTGGTATTATTGGACTACGGTTGGTTAGATGGAAACAAGCACTATGCTTGTGTTCCGAGATCGTTGCAAGTTGTACCTCCAACGGATTTATATTTTCAAGAAGAGTGGTGGCATCCACAGCGACGTCCAACCTATAAAGATTTGTCCAATCACTTACTTGTTAGGAGACTAGTTCAGAAANGGTTGTCTTTATGGGTAGGAGAAGGGACTATATCAGAAGCTGAATGGAAAGAAAATTATGAGTTTTGTGCGCATCCCGTATCCATTGCTCAGACGAATACTTGTCAAGTTCCGTTGTTATGTCGACAGTGGATTTGCAATGCGGGTTGTTATTATTTAGCTTACCAATGTCGTCAGTTGGTCAAGTATCTATGTACTATTCATGACAGTAGTTTACATGCCACTTTAAAACCATCCAACTGTAATACTCATACAACAAAGCCGAGGGGTATTTATTTTGAATACTTTCATTGGCACATGTTACAAACGCATTTAGAGGAACACGTTTGGAATTAAACTTCATTCTCTTGTTCCAAAGATGAAGAAGGATACTTATGGGTTGTTGAGGATGGCGAGTGATTAGGTTGTACAACGAGTGCATTGCGTTGTTCTCCATTCACATGAATATGAACAGTTTCTCCCATTCGAATGGAACCTTCCAACATCATCTTGGCTAAAGGTTCCAATATTTGACGTTGAATAACGCGACGCAAAGGCCTTGCTCCATATACTGCATCATAACCACTTTCTGCTAACCAATCCACGGCGTCCTTGTCCATATTCAATGAAAGCTCATTCTCTTTAAGTAACTTTTCTAATCTACGCAACTGTACATCTACAACTCCTCTCATCGCTTGTCTATCGAGGCGATTGAATAAAATAATATCGTCCAATCGATTAAGGAACTCTGGTGAAAAATAGGCACGAACTTCTTGTAAAACTTCTTCTTTGGCGTCCACCGATGCAACTCCTTCTGGTAAGGATGCCAAGATAGGAGCACCCAAGTTGGAAGTCAATACAATAATCGTATTTCGAAAATCTACTCGACGGCCTTGTCCATCCGTTAAGCGGCCATCGTCTAACACTTGTAATAATATGTTACTAATAGCACGGTGAGCCTTTTCAAACTCATCAAATAATATCAATTGATAAGGTCGCCTTCGAACAGCTTCTGTTAATTGCCCTCCTTCTTCATATCCAACATAACCTGGAGGAGCTCCAATCATTCTAGCTACAGAATGCCTTTCCGAGTATTCTGACATATCCAGACGAATCATTGCATTCGGATCATCGAACAAGAATTCCGCCAAAGCTTTACAAAGTTCTGTTTTACCGACGCCTGTTGGTCCCAAAAACAGAAACGAACCTATTTTTTGAACAATGAATATGCGACAGAAAGCGTTGAAAACATAAGTATCCACATACCGATAGGTCGTTCATGAGAATGGAAACCGGCACGAGCCAATCTAACTGCCGAGGCAACTGCATGTACTGCTTCATCTTGTCCAACCACTCTTCTTTTCAGTTTATTTTCCATATTCAACAGCTTTTCCTTTTCTCCAACTAGCAAATTTTGAATAGGAATACCGGTAGACTTGGATATAACATTAAGAACATCCTTTTCTGTCACAGCCTATCATCCATCACGAAATATAGAAATTCACTTGTATATGACAAATCAAATACCTCTGCTAATAAAGTAGACAGCTGTCCATCTCCTTCCTTTGGAATTTTACTTTCCACATTGGGAATAACGGAATATTTCAGTTCGCTTGCTCTTTCCCAGTTACCAGCTCTTTGTGCCAAATCCAACTCCCTTCGAAGTGCCTCCAACCTTGCTTTGGCTTCTTTGGCTTCATTCAATGCTCTTTTGTCTTGTTCCCACTATAACATATAAGGAAAACAGACCTAGCTCTTCTTCATCTTTCCTTACCTGTCGAATGAGTTCATCTCTCTTTCGTTCCTTTTCTTCGATTTCCTTCTCTGCTTGTTCCAATCGTTTCTTGCTATTCACATCCGACTCCTTTCTCAACGCTTCAATTTCTATCTTTAGCGTCATAATAGCTCTATCCAAGTCATCAATAGGCTCTGGTTTGCTTTCTTGTTGCATTTTCAAACGACTAGCTGCTTCATCTACCAAATCTATTGCAGAATCTGGAAGTTTTCTTTCTGTCATATATCGATTGGCATATAAAGCTGCAGTGACCAAAGCACGGTCAGTTATACGTACTCCATGATGAACCTAACCAAAAACAAATATCATTCCAAACCTCGCAAATTCATTCATACACACTTACTTCATATCTACTTTTCAAACCTCGCAATATATTGATAGTATCCTCAACAGTAGGTTCTGCAACAAACACTGGCTGAAACCGACGAGCCAATGCTGGATCCTTTTCAATATATTTGCGATATTCTGATAACGTTGTTGCACCCACACAATGCAAGTCTCCTCTAGCTAGTGCTGGTTTCATCATATTGGAAGCATCCACGCTACCTTCTGCAGCACCTGCACCCACCAAAGTATGAAGCTCATCGATAAACAAGATAATTCTTCCCTTTTCATTTTCTATATCTCTCAAAACAGATTTTATTCTTTCTTCAAATTCACCGCGAAACTTGGCTCCAGCGACCAATGCACCCAAGTCGAGCGCCAACACTCTCTTATCCTTGATACTTTCAGGAACGTCTCCCACTGCCTAGGTTGGAGTTGTAAAGGAAATTATCGAAAGCTATATCACAATTACCACTCGCTGTGCTAAACCTTCTACTACTGCTGTTTTCCCAACACCTGGCTCACCAATCAACACTGGGTTGTTCTTGGTCCTTCTTGACAGTACCTGAAGAGTTCTTCTAATTTCCTCCTAAACAAGTCTTCAGCCCTTGCTTTATTGAACTTGATAACTATCAACCTCTCTACCAATAACAGGATCCAATTTTCCTTGTTTTGCAGCTTCTGTCAAATCTCTAGCGTACTTTTTCAAAGCTTCACCTGCTGGTACTGCTTCTGGAGCTACCCAACTATGTCCCATAGGATGTTGTCCTCCACCATAAGAAAACCCACGTCTCTAACTATTATGGATTTCAAACTATGGTTATTTTATAGAAAACACTTACCCATGGATTGAAATATGTAACACCTGCTGGATAATACTTGGTAACTTGTGAACCGAGGAGTTGTTTCCAAATGGGCCTCAAAGGAATTCTCATCTCCAAACGAATCATAAGACCGAAAGAGATCTTATGCGGAGTGCACTTGAGTCTTCTCATTTTTATCAACTTAAAAACTTGTTCATACATAGAAACTATAATCTACTTTATCTCATTATAAAATACTTTGGAATCATACAACAATTATTGTTGGAGAATGTTTTTATAAATATTGAATTTTCTGTTATTTGTTACTGACCAAGTTGTTCCAATTCCTTCCGTTATTTTCACAAGTAAACTTGTACATTACAAGATCGTGATGTTTTGAAGCATAGCTTACTTGAAAAACTTGATACAAAACACAAGTTATCGAACACAGCTATATAAGACAACACCTTTGAATCGAATGCAACGGTTCCAACATCGTATTCAACCAACTTGTGGCAAACAGAATCCTAATCTGTCCTATAAAATATATTCATCACATCTAAAGTAAATATAATGGTTATGCAGCCTAATCACAAGAATAATCCAATCCTGAGCTAGTAAACGATCACCAGTGAAAATAGTTCCAATTAGTCATTCTTCGTAAAGACCTTGAATAGTTGTTTTTTTCACTTTAAAGTGAAATTACCATTTAGAAAAATTCACAAAAGTTGTCATAGAAAAATATTTGTACAGCTCCATTCACTTTAGTAACTCTTGTTTTCATTCTTAAGAAACATCGATGACAACTCTGAACGACCTTTGTGTATGGATTCCATATTCAATGATGACCTACTTTATTCTATTCACAATATTTATTAAATCTACTTGATTTCTACAATTGGCAGTTGAGCATTTCAACTCTCTCGCTTCATATCCATTTGGGTGGGATATCGTCACTTGCAGTTTTGGCGTCATCACTTTCTACTCTATGGGTTTTTTTCAAGTGGAGTTGACCAAAAATGTCCGAGTTCATCCTCGTCACTTTCACTCTAAATTAAAGGAAACACTCATACAGACTTTGATGGATGAAGTAGAAGGAACCGTTTCTGGTCGTTTTGGGTTTGTAGTATCTGTGTTGGAAGTATTGCAGCCATTACCCAAAGGAATATTGCGAGAAGGATTTGGTTTTGCTGTTTATCCTTTAAAATACAAGGCTTTGGTATTTCGGCCCTTTAAAGGAGAAGTACTCGATGCTGTAGTTACCAACGTTACTCGACACGGTATATTTGCTCAAGTAGGACCACTAACTATATTTGTATCACGACATCAAATTCCTTCAGATATGACACACGACGAAGAAACTGCTAGTTATATCAGTGTAGTTGAAAAAGCTGAACGAATTCAACGTGACTCTGCTATTAGACTTCGGGTCAATGGTATCAAAATAGATGCTAGTTCATTTACTGCTGTAGGAACTATATTAGATGACTATTTAGGACTTATTGAATGATTTCTTCGAGTGATGCATACTTTTATTGTATTTTGAATAGATTCATATATATATATATATATATATATATGTACATTTCTTGGCCATTTCCATATCCGTATGTTGTCGAGCTTTGGGTTGAAGTTGTCAAAAACTGCCTCGTCACTTGTGGGTCGCTATACTTCATACTTATTGCATAGTCGTTCTTATTTAGTTTCTTTATGTTGTTACTCGTCTTCATGGGTTCCATCCAACTCCAATCTTCTTCTGGAAAAGACTCGGAGTCATGGCGCCTTTTGTACAACACTTCGATCACTTTGTCAAACTTCAAACAGTACACTCAACAAACTATCAGAAATAGCGGATGCTGACTTGGTTAGAAGGGAACGATTTGTATTACAAGGATTCTTGAGTACTTTGGAGAAATTTCCATACAAAAACGAAAGAGATATCAACCTATTAAAAGAAGTCATCAGAAGACTTGACGGTTTATTTTTATTGGTTGTCGTTGGAGAATTCAATTCAGGGAAATCAAGTTTGAGTAAGTTTTATGATTCTCTTTGTGTGTTCCTGTTGGGTTGAAACTGTCAACTAGTCAACGCACTATTGGGTGGACACTTTTTACCGCAAGGTCCAACACCAACAACTGCACAAGTTAGCCTTGTCAAAGGTCCATACTCTTCTTCACCAGATGCCGATAATTATGAAGCTGATTATCATATTTATTCAGTTCCTGTGCCTTGGTTGAAGTATATGAATATTGTAGATACTCCTGGGACCAACGCTATTGAACAAGCACATGAAATACTAACCAAAGAATTTGTTCCTAGAGCAGATCTTATTTTATTTACAACTTCTGCAGATAGACCTTTTAGTGAGAGTGAAAGAAGATTCTTGGAAGAAATACGTAATTGGGGAAAGAAGGTCATCATCGTGCTCAACAAAATTGACCTTTTAATGGATAGTGATCAGCCAAACAAAGACTCTGTTCAAGCAGTGGTGCATTATGTAAGAGATCATGCAAGAATATGGGTTGGAAGTGATCCACAAATATTTCCTGTAAGTTCTCGACTCGCATTATTAGCAAAAGAACGTTTACATCCCACTACTACTACTACTACTAGCAGTAGTCGTAATCATATGGATTCGAATACTATGTTGGAAGCCAATCACCTATTGGAAGCGAGTCGATTTCCTAGTTTAGAAGCCTTTATCACCAAAACATTGGATGACCGGGAACGTTGGAAGATCAAGTTGGAAACTCCACTTGCTTTGGCACAATCGATGCAAAAGACTTATCAGACTTTGATCAAAAGTAGAAAAGATATTTTGGAAAAAGACTTGTTGTGCATTTCAGATATTCAAGAATCGTTACAGATGTATCGAGAAGACTTTAATCGCGAGTCTCAATCCCAATTGGTTCGAATAGATAATATTATATTACGTTTGCAACAACGAGCTAGTCAGTTTTTTTATGAGCGCATTCAATTGAGATATAGTATTCCTTTATTGCGAAATAATCAGAGTTTGTCACCTGAATTGGAAAGTGTATTGGGTAATACGGCGGTAGAGTTGGAACAGGAAGTGTTAGCAATGGTTGGTTGGTTACAAGAAAAGAATCGAAGACATTGGAAAGAAATATCTCGATTATATGATCATCGGTTGAATTGTCGACAGAGAGAGTTGGAACCAACACATTCATCATCCGAGTCTGGAAGTTGGAATGGTCATTGGGTGAGTGCGTTGCAAGATCTTTCATTGAATTGGATATCGAAGGAAATGGATGACTGGGATATGGATGCTGAGTCTAAACGTCAAATGACATTGACTGAGTTGAAACGCGCTTCGACAGATTTATGGCATGAAAAGTTTTCATCGCAAGAAGAAGCACAACGTTTGGTTTTACATGTTCGCAAGTCATTATTGACGATGTTTAGTGCTCAAGCTGGTGCATTAGGGTTATTAGGAACACTTTCTATTTTATCCACTTTGGACATTTCTGGTATCATTTTCACTTGTGCATTAGCTATTGCAAGTACAGGAGTGTTTCCTTATAGGAAAAAACAATTTTTACGAACTTTTCACTCAAAGATGGATCAGTTTCGTCATGCTTTGAGAGAAGAGATTGAGAAAGAATTGCGCCATCAGTTGGATCAACATATTGTTACGATAGAGAATGCAATGGCACCTTTTTCACGTTTTATTCGTTCTCGCAAAGCAATGGTACTAGAAGAAGAACAGCAGTTGAGTCACATTGCATCTCAAATAAGTATGATGAGAGATTTGATATCCAATCGATTTGAAAGTGAGCCAAGTACACCAACTTTACAAGAGTCAAAGTCGCCTTTATCCCATCCATCTTCGAGTGGTTTTTCATCTGATCATTCGTTGACACAAGAAACCAAACCTTGAGATAGTCATGAATAATAAGATACTCTCTATATATATATATATATACCATAATAAATCAATTGGATATACAGATGGACAAGGAGCTATTCTTTATATAGAAATGGATACCGGGATATCTCCAAAATAGAATATACAATTGGAAGGAGAGGAATATTGTACATTGGATGCGATGGAAGGAGGAACAAAAGGCAAAGCTTGAGCTGATAATGAACTTTGTTCTATTTCCATATGATTGCTTATATCAGAAGAGCATCGCATCGATGTCTCATTCTCTTCCTTTGATGGGATAGAAGGGTTAGTTTCCTGGACAACCAAATTTCTTAGTTGTTGATAAGCATCGTTCCATAATTCTACTTCATCTTGAGAATGCTGATGATGTTTGTAATGGGATACAACGAGACCCATCACTGATATCTTTCTAAGTTTTGAATGAAATCCTATTTGGATGTGATATTCTTTCAAGGTTTTTTCTTCTTATGGATGGACTTACCTAACCATTGGGCCATTTCATAGACATCCAATACAAAATAATAAGGAATATTGCGTTGTTTACAGATGAGAATCATTTCCACTATTTTGCTTTCCAACTTTTCCATTTTATCCGTATTCTCTACATAATTGGCAATCAATACTACTTGAATGATTGATTTCTTGATTGCTCTCATGGTTTCTCTTATACCCAAACAATAAGGACGCCTTGAATCCAACCGAGTAGCACAAAGTTGTCCCAATCTTTTCAACAATTGACGAGCAGCCAAGTCTAAGAGTGTTTGAGTATTATTATCATTGCTGGTATTCATCCAGGATTTTAACTCCGTTTTCCATTTTCTAAGTTGTTTCTGTTCTCATTTGTATCTTCCAAAGTAGAAGAAGAAGATGATGATGTGGATAGAGATGGATGAAAGGGTTCATATATATGATGGATGGATGAGAAGTTTGTTGTTATAGACTGAAAATTGGGGTTCAAGTACATTCTTGATAGACCCATATAACCCCAAGTAGGCATAGGAACAAAGAAACTCTTAGGTATTCTATCACTTCTATGAGAATAGTATTTCATTCTATCCCAATCACTCAACCATATTGTTTTTTGAGTTGGTATAGAGTTTTCGTTATTCGACGACTGAATTTCAAATAGAGTACCACAATTGGGCAACATGGAATACTCTCCCAGTGGATAGTAGTAGTAGTAGTAGTAGTAGAATGGAGACCATATCATCAATGGTTGAGATGGTATATATTCATGGGTTGTTGTAGAAGCAACATTTGTATGGGATATGCCACACATGTGAGAATCAAAAACCATTCATAACAAAATGATGTCGATCATCCTTACCATTTACAATGGCATTACATGAAATCTGCATTTCCAAAGATATGTGATTGTGTTTATTCTATTTTCCAATGATCCTTTTTCCATGTACCATCATTTATCGTACGTTCATGTATACAATGATCATAATATTTGAATAATTGTTGTATCTCTATCCTTTGGTCACTCTTCATCATCCAATAGGGCTTGTCTTCTTCTACTTCTTCATGACTCTTCACATACTTCTTTGGTTCATAACAAGCCCATATAGACTTGAGCTCACTCGTTGACTCTGAAGAAATAGGAATACGCTTCAATCGAATATTCCATCGATCTATATTCATCATCATCGTCGTTGTAAAATGTGATGAAGCCTGTTCAACTATTTCCATATTGCTCACTTTTCCCAACATTTTGTTGTACTATTCATAACAGATTGATATATAACTATCATAAACACACAAACTCTTTCTCTCTCTCTCTTTTTATATATATAAATATATATATATATATATACAGAGAGAGAGAGATATATATATATATACATACCATTTGTATCATCTCATGTCTTGTATAATCATATACATGAATACTTTGGTCTTCACTAGCACTTAACAATAATCCTTTCCTTTCTCCATGTTGTGGTATCCAACGCAAGCAAGTAACTTGAGTTGAATGTTCCTTTTTTAATAATTGTACAGCACAAGAGCTACTAGGATTACTTTTGAGAGGCAAGTAAATCGATACTTGATATATCTTTCCATCACGAGTACCCACAAATAAGACGGCTTCATGATGATGCATAGTCAAACAGGTAAGTGGATACACAAGTGAATAAGTATGTAACCATTCACCTGAAGAAAGTTTCCATACTCTTACAGTACAATCTAAACTACAACTAAATATCCAATCTCTCAAAGCATATTTACCACAACAAACGTTGGTCACTGGCATAGTATGACCTCTAAAGGTTGCCAGTGGAATAGGTTTTCTATTTTCATGAATAGAATATAAAGATAATTGGGTCAACTGTAATAATGACCAACTTTTCAAGGTACCATCTTCACTAGCTGTCACAAATACAATGCCATCATCTGCAAAGCAAATATCCGATAGGGCTCTCCAGTGGGCAACCCATATACCTAATAATACTCCACTAGAAACTTCCCAAATATACAGTCTGCCAAATACATCACCTCCCAATAAATATCGACCAGTAAAACTGTATTTGAATACGACAAGCCTACAAATCCATAAAGACAACCACAAACATCAATATAAAATGATAAAAAGAAAATACGAGGATTACCCTTCAGGTGCAGAGCACTTAAATTCTGAACTTTCCTTTTGCAATGAGAAAAACTCAAAAGAACCAGGACTAGCTTCAACGGTTGCTGTTTGAGTAGACTGAACGGAATCCTTTTTACAAGTAAAGTGATAACCCGTATGCAAGCGACACAAAGATAGACAACCAGGAGCCACCGACTGAATGGAAAACAATCTTCGCGGTTTCTCTTCTCCTGGAACCCACAACTGCGTCCAACGATGATCACTATGAGTAATCAACACGGATACTTGTTGCTCATCCAACATCCTATAAAAAGATAATGATTTCGTCGAGTGGCAATTGTCGCAAGTAGGAGTTGTGATGACCCACCGCCAAGAATGGAAGTTATCTGTAGACGCTTCAGGAAGACAATACATTTACAACGAAAAATTGGGTTGTTCTAGGTGGTTATGGGAAAGATATTATGATGAAAATACCAAACACTTTTACTTGTGTAACGTATTGACTGGACAATCAGTATGGGAAGCAACAACACCTGTGCAACCTACCTATTTGCAAACACAACCCGCAACTCCTATGCAAAAGGTGGTAACAAACGCAGTCAGTGCTCACCCAACCAAAAATGTTTTACCCAAAAAAACAGAAAATTGGAAGCAAACAAACGAAGTAGAGTTTTTTACGCCAGATGGAAGAAAATATTATTGGGACCCTGTCACGAAAACTTCAAGATGGGCAAATGAATCAACAAACTTGGAGAATAACAGGCCAAATCTTTCTCAACAAACTTTGCAGTCCAAACAAATAACTTCAAGTAAAAAGGTATCAATCAAGTGGAAACAGTTGAGTTCCGAAAAACAACTTGTCAACTCTCAAAAACTGGATACACCTTTCAAAGAACCCAAGTGGGAAACGACAAGCTTAGCGAAAGATGCTAGCTCAACTTTATCTTCTGACCAAAATAGACAAGATATTATGGAAACTAGTGTCCAGTCTAACAGTGTGGCAACATTATCTGACTCAAATAGTATTGTACAGAGTGTATCCGAGATAAATATGGATGGCAAACAAGGTTTACGTCAAGATGTCAACGGGAATGAATCTAGTAAGTAGAGAGTATACAAGGCAAGACTTTCATTGAAACTGTTACATAGTTGACTTGAATATGAATCAGAGACTTCCTTTGCGTGTAAAGAAAAGAAAGAAGAAACTTAAAGGAAGTAGCGAAGATGGTTCCCAATTGAATACAGTGGAGCCTGTAATTATGAAAGCTGATGCCTCTGTGAGAATTATAGGAACATGTGTTGAACTGGAGAAGCCATATTTACGACTAACCTCGGTTCCTGATCCAAAAGATGTAAGACCCTATTCTGTGCTGAAAAAGGCACTAGGTCGTGTGAAAAACAAATACAAGTATGTCTTGTGAAATGTTTAAACAGAGAATATGTTGAAACTCTCCATTCTTAGAAAGAGAAAATGGTCATATAATTATACATGTGAGCAGTTGAAAAGTATACGGCAAGACATGACTGTACAAGGAATTGAAGACGCATTAGCTGTACAAGTCTATGAAACTCATGGCCGATTGGCTTTGGAAAATAATGACATGGACGAATTTATTCAGTGCTTGACCTGTTTGTCCCAACTTTATCCAAAGGTAGTGGTTTGTCTTGTGGTATTATGAATATAACTAAAATACACGCCATTACTATAGGTAGAATCCGAGCACAGGATTGAATTTGTTGCTTATCGAATTCTATACGCTACATATGTGAACTCCAAGGACCTTTTGACCTCGATTCTTTGTGACTTGGGCCGAAAGGAAAAAAGTTTATGGGAGGTTTCTCACGCCACACAAGTTTGGAAATCTGTATCAATTGACAATTGGAATCGATTTTTTTTCCTCTATGCACATTGTCCCCACCTTGGATTTTACTTGATGGATAAGATGAAGAATAGGGTGCGGCAAAGTGCGTTGAATCATTTGAGGAAAGCATTTAAAGTGGATAACATTGAAATTGAGTTTCTAAGCAAGAATTTTGGGTTTGAGAATATAAGCGAATGTATTCAATATTTCGAAGAAAATGAATTTATTTTTGACGAACACAAAAAGGAAATTATCATCTCCAAATAATAGAACTTTTATTTTAAATGCTGTAAATTTTGAAAAAGTTTGATATGGTTGCATTCTCATTTCTATTAACATTGTTAATTATTACACGAATAAAAAACATTTAAAAAGCGCTGCAACATGTAGCTTCTCGATTCTTTTGATAACGACCTTTTATTTCCTTTTAAAACCATAAAAGTTTCACTTTTTAAGGATATGAACTTTCTAAACATTTAGTTTATTTCCAAAAATTTTAAGCTTAAAAAGGCCTTGTTTTGTGAATTTAGACCTTTAGTATGCGAAGAAAACCCTTATTCAAAGCCTTAGCTCACATATTAAAAAAATTTTTCAGTCGGAAGCAGCTTCACAGGAAATATGTCCTCAGCAAACAAGAACATAACAGGCACTTTATTAGAATTGGAAAAGATAAAAACAAAAGCAAATTAAAATAAATCATTTTTCGTTCAAAAACCTTTTCTACAAAATTTTACCATTTAACCAATTAATTTTTAAAAGTTATATTTAAACAAAATTGGTCAGAAAGCAACTTAAAACAGCAATAGATTATTTAGCCAAGACTGTTCTATAGCGTTTATTGAAATCTTTAAAACGCTGTTTATGTTTAAAGATTCAACTAATTTTTTGAAATAGCAGCTAATTGTATATATACAGCATTTTTAACATCTTTTATCTTCTTTAAAAGATTGGTGCAAATAAAAGGAACACATAAATTACTTTTCTAGACTAATTTTTAATTATGATCTGTTTTTTTAGTTTTTCAGAACATTTGCAAACACCGATTCATTGATTGACGAATTCTCGAAGATTTATTTTTAGAGATAAATTTTGGGTATAGTTAGCAACTCTTACGAAATGAGAAAATAGTGAAAAAGGGCTGATATTTAATGATGCTAGTTGATTTGATGCTTTTAGGCATATCATATGTGTCGTATGTGTCTCATTTTATTTGATTAGCCAGAGCCTAGGATACCAAAATTTGAACACAGTGACAATGGTCTTTCTGGACAACGAAAACTTTATTGAATATGAGGGATGGAGAATAACTGTTATTCCAAATCGATCCAAAGTTCATTTTCCATTAAACCGACCTTTTCCAGGTTCGAGTGGCTAACAAAGTAGAAACTAGACGTTTCAGGCTGTAGTCCAGCCTCATTCAAGACATTCTAGAGAAAAATTCAGAACTAAATATAAGAGAAAAGTGCAGTCACATACTTCCAAGGCCTTGGCACCCATAAACACTATGCGGGTGTCCATAATTTTCCGAGTTCTAGATACGTGACCTAAGAGAGGGAAATCATGATGAATTTCCAAACCAACGCGAGTTTTTGCAGGATATGTGACAAGGGATATCTACAGTTTCAAGTTTAAATACCAATATGAAAACCAATCCTTAGACACTTACGTTTGGATTTTTGTTTTTCTCTTGAAACAGTTTTTCTACTTTTTGTGACACTGGCACACCTATACTAACTTTCAACTGTCCTCCATCTGAACCTGTCGGAAAACAAACACGAAGAAATATTATCTTGTCCAAGTGCTTCTTTGCTCCACTTGAGTCTAGAAAGTCTTCCAGTAGTTTAAAGCTTTTCTTGATATATTCTTGTCCATTGTTTACATTCAAACCTTCTTCATTGACCTAACAGAATGTGAAAAGGTGGACTCCTTGCTATCTTGACGAACCTTCGTTTCCACAACTCTAAATTCTTGACAACTTTCCACATCTACGTGCTTGAAAAATGGGCTTGAAAGAAGAGTTTCCAGAGAATCTGCTGCTTTCTGTACCAATAAATTTGCTTTTTCCTTGTTTGGAGTACAGTTAAGAGGCTTCCAATGTTTGCGACCGTGTTGTTCCACTAACTTGGGAGTTTGTGTTGGGTGCTCCTCTTTGTTACGAGGGCCTATGGGAACAAAGGCTTCCTCTTTTTGAAGAGAATGAGAAAAGGGAGATAAATAGAAACAAACCAAAAGAAACAACAACCACCGACACAACCAGCGCAACATTGAAGCTCAGCTTTGCCAACCCAAATGCTCAATTATCTTACATTTCTCTCGTTGAAGTTTCCGAATAAGACGGCAGAGATGTGACATGCAAATGGAAATGAGAAGAATCTACAGGTTATAGCTAACAAATAGAAATTAGATTATACTATTGAAAAGACACAAACCAACTTGAACCCACAAATGCATAAGAGATTAAGGCCATTTATTGAACTGAAGATTTCAATTAACAAGTTGTGCCATGACAAGTAGTGTCAAACTTTGTGGGAGCGCCTTTGGTTATTCAAGGCGCCTCAACTCCTTATTCTTGAACGTTCGTAGTTCATCAGCTAAAAGTTTTTCCTCGCAAGTAGTAAGTTGTTCGACGTGATTGAATGGATATACTCACTTTTATAGGCCGAGTCGACTAGTACCATTCCTCCTCCAGTTGCACCCACTTTTGTTTCTAGATCTCCTTTACAAAGATTGAAAGGTTTCTTTGGAAAATATGCTACAGCATTACCTCCCAACTATCAGTTCGAACCAGAGTTGCAGAAGCAGGTACCGACTCGAGTGTCCCAGTTAGATAATGGGCTTCGTGTGGCAACGGAGTATGCACCTACTGGTACTGCAACTCTAGGAGTTTGGATTGATGCGGGCACCCGATTTGAACCTGAACGCGTGAATGGCGCTGCACATTTTTTGGAGCACCTCATATTTAAAGGTACCACTCAACGTACTCAACATCAGTTGGAAGTGAGTTGTTTATACCCTTTCTCTCTCTCTCTCTATATATATATAGATAGATACTGAAACATGTTTGACCAGGTTGAAGTGGAGGATATTGGTGCGCACTTGAATGCGTATACTTCCAGAGAGCAGACAGCTTATTATGCTCGTTCGTTGAAGGAGGATGTTCCTCAAGTCTTAGAGCTTTTATCAGATATATTGAAAAACTCCCGATTTGATGCCGCTGCAGTAGAGAGAGAACGTGACGTTATTCTAAGAGAAATGGAAGAAGTGAACCAACAAGCAGAAGAGGTCTTGTTTGACTATCTTCATGCTTCGGCCTATCAAGATACTCCGCTTGGTCGAACTATTCTTGGACCTGAAGAGAATATTCGTGCTTTGACTCGTGAGGATTTGATGGAATATGTCAAGCTCCATTACAAACCTCATCGAATGGTTCTTTCTGTTGTTGGAGATGTTGAACATCAACCAATCGTTGAGCTTGCTAAGAAACACTTTGGAGGAATGGAAATGGATCCCACATTTTCTGGTGTGAATACATTAGTATCTGCTTCTCCAGCTTACTTCACAGGCTCTGATGTTCGTATTCGTAATGATGATCTTCCTATGGCACATTTTACTATAGCCTTTGAGACTTGTGGTTGGACACATCCTGATACAGTAGCTTTGATGGTCCTTCAGTCACTTCTTGGTTCTTGGGACCGAAGTTCTGGACTTGGTATGAATACTGGAATTCGTCTTGGTGCCGCAGTAGCAGATACTTCTTGTCAGAGTGTGATGTCTTATAATACTACTTATACAGACACTGGTCTGTTTGGTGTCTATGCAGTTGCAGAACCTGTTGAATTGGATGATGTTGGATATGCAGTACTTCATGAGTTGGTTAGAGCTTGTTTTAAGATTGAGGAAGCAGATTTACAGAGAGCCAAAGTACAGTTGAAGACCAATTTGTTGGGACAACTGGATAATACAACTGCGGAAGCGGAAGAAGTGGGACGTCAACTCTTAGTATATGGTAAGTGATAATAGATATTGTTTCATTTTCTGTTTTGGATAGACAACTTTTATTAGGTCGTCGTATTCCATTGTTGGAAATGTTTGCGAGAATAGATGCTGTGGATATTTCTACCTTGAAGAGAGTTGCCAATCGATATATATACGATAGAGATCCAGCAGTAGCTGCTATGGGACCCATATTCACTCTTCCAGACTATAATTGGATTCGAAGAAGAACTTTCTGGAACAGATATTAAAGATTTGTTTTGGATATGAAAAGAAATTGTGAATACTTTCATTTTGTGTGTCCAATGACTAGAATTGAGACTATGTCAACTGTTGGTTATGGAAGAAGAAGCAAATAAGTGAGTTGTAACTTGGTTGAGAAACTTATGGTTCAACGAGGTTCTCTAGTTGGAACAAAAGTTACAAGAAACATTTTTATTTCTTGTCAAGTGTTTTTATATTGTTGTCGTTTTTGTTGGGTTGGCCTATTGTAGTGATAGTGTTGAGTAGTTTGAAAATTCAACAAGGCTTGTATTGTGATGAACACTTGGCAAGATTTGTTATAGTTTCTGCTGGACTTTGGTTATTATTGGGGTTATACTCTTTGGTTATTTTTGTGTTGATTTGGATATGGGGAGACGTTCCACACTCTGGGTAGGATTCTTACAACTTGTGTTTCCTTATCTCTCATTCGACCTAGTATATTTAGTAGTGTAGGATTTCTGCTTCTGCTATTCAACTTTGGTTATTGGATATATCTTCAAGTACGGTTTTTTGAAAGTGCTGGTCCTGGTGCATTTTGTCCCAACAGTTGTAGTTGTCAAGGTTATCCACAACATACTCGATGTTGTGATTCAGTTTCATATGGATTGACTTTGGCTATGATTGTTATTATGTACGTTTGTGCACTCATGTTGTAAGTGATTGTATCTTGTATTGGAAAATGTTGTTGTCCATGTCTCTATTAGGTTTTGTTATCCTTGTTGGGTTTCATTGGTTTGGTCTCGAAGAACGAGGAGAGGTTTGGGTAGATTGAGTCATTGGATAGGAAGTGCTTCTGATTCTGTCACATATGTGGGTTCAGTTGGACGACGATGGAATCAATTAGGACTTTATCGATATGCAAATTCTAGAAGAGCAACAGCTGAAGGTTCTCATTTATTATCTACGCAAAATACTCAAGAAGAATAAAGTATGTCTCTCACACACAGCCAATATTCATTATGGTTGCTTTTTGGTTTCCGATGTATCTTGAAGAGACATTTTCAAAGCCTTTTGCAATTCTTCTTCTTCATCATCATAATCTTCTTGTTCTTCTTCATTAGTTCTTTTCGATGTTGGATCATTACCACTACTTTGACCAGAATCCACTTGCATCACATGTGCATTCGTTCCTGAATCATACAACTCAGCATCTGCTTCATCTCCTTGAGAAATATCCGCATTACTTTGTTCCTCTTTCCTATACTCTTCGCTACGACTCGTATCCATTTCTTGTTGCCTACTCAAGGCTTCTTGTCTAGACTTTTCTTCTTCCATAGATATTCTCAAAGCCATTGCAAGTTCCGGGTCAACATTGGGATCAACTCCAAACTCAAAATCACTAGCTCCACCACCAGTTTGTCCACTTATAGAAGAACCTGTCCCAACACCATAACCAGTATCCATGGCCTCTTGTTGTACAATAGGTGAAGTCAATACAATATCTGATAAGATGTGAGGTCCAGGTAAAACACTCAATAGATGACTATTCTCATTCGAGTTGACTGCCTCGATGAGAGCTTCCAATTTGCTTTCGTTCGCTTCACATTCCCCAAAACTAACGATATCTAAAGCTACGTTGTTCTTCTTCAACCTTCGTCCCAAAGAAACCAACTCTTCTTCAGGAACGTCCACATAACTTCCCACAAAGACTATCAGTCGTTGCCTCTGTACTTTATTTTGTCGGTGTTTGAGTGCCAACTGCGCCTTCAAGATGGCACCTTTCAAGTCTACTTTACCTCGAATGCGTAAACCATGCAAAGAACTCAATATCACACCAATATCTTGGGTTTGAGTAACCAATATCTCCGGTGTTCCACCTGCCATAGTCATCAAACCAACCGTGTTTTCCGGATTTTGTTGCAACTTGGCACCACAGACCAAGTTGGCAGCGTCTTGTTGGGCATCCTACACAAGTATGAATCGACACAACACAACTGTACAGAAAACTTACCAAACGACTAGGAGGATAGTCACCATTCCTCATCCACTCAGAGTTGTCTACACATACCATAACTGCTTCCAATACCATTTTGGAATAACTCACAACAATTCCTCCTCAATCCCAAAATCTATAATAAAAAAAAAGCTATTCCAGTTTTATTTCCATTTGCATATATAACTTGTGCTAAGCATAGGTATGTAAAATAGTAATCACAAGTCTTCTGGATCATCCGGTGCATCGATATTTTCCAAGCAATGTTTGTATAACCGTGACTTGGGATCCAAGTCAAGAGCAAACATAAAATACTGCATAGCCAACTTCCTATCTCCACCGTTTTTCGCCAATCTTCCTAAAAGATAATGTACAGCGGGCTCCTAGTCATTCAAATGAAGTCAAATATAGAATCTCTCCAACAAATCTCGCTAGTAATTACCTTGGGAACCAAATTACTCAGTTCTATCAATTCTTCAGTTGCTTCCCTATGACGTTGAATCTTAGAATACAACTTGGCTCTCTCAAAACGTGCTACATAGTTCTTAGCATTCAACTCTATCGCCTTGTCATAAGCTTCCAAAGCTTCGTTGTAGGATTTACATGAATAACAAACATTGGCCAAATGATAATAAAGAAGGGATGAACGTGGATTGATTTTGATAGCACAACGATAATGATAATCTGCGAGCTTGTACTTTTCTTGTTTGTGAAAGACTTGTCCCAAACCATACCATGCCTTTACATGTTAGCGTATCATCTCTCATATATAAAAATTTTTGCACTTACGTGATATTCGCGTTCACTGATTGCCAATGCAGTTCTAAAAGAAGCCATGGCGGCATCATAATCTTCCTTAAAAATATACTCATGTCCAATAAGTGCATGAGCATAGGATGAACGAGGTGCAAGTAAAACTGCACGTTTGAGACAACGGATGGCTGTGTCGGGATCCTTTTGTAGAGAGAATAAATTGCCCATAGCACACCAAGCAGAAGAAGAGTTTCTATCCACAGATAAAAGATATTGTGATAGGAAACTAAGTTCGGTCTCCATGCGAAGATGCCACATGACGGATGAAAAATATTCAAGACCATCCGTATAAGTGAAATCTAGATGTTGGCATTGTTCAAAAGTTTGCAAGGCACTGTTGTAATCCAGCAATTCATAATATGCCCTACCGACCATACTTAGTACATAACCAGTCTGATATTGTGCAGGAGGAAGTCCCTCTAAAGTTTGAATGGCCTCCTCACTACAAAATAATGATAAAAGTAATTGAGCTTTTCCTAATATTCTAAAAAGTCTCATGACTGAAAAGCTATCATGTGCCATATTTCGTTCTTCTCCCGATGACACAACACGTTCCACAGCCATGCGGTCTGAACTTCGGGAGGAAAATGATAAACGACCCAATTTGCGTAAACTTCCAATGGTTTCCTGTTGACTTGAGGGTGTCGCTAGCGGTTTGTTGTTTCTTCGAACAGAAGGCGGGCCATTGGACCTTAGGGTTCCTATGACTTTGGCTTCAGGGGAAGGTGTTCGAAAGTCACCCGATTTATCCAAAACGTTTGTTTGCAAATTGGGGTTCGTCAAGGTGATATGTGACACTCGTGAAGGTGATGCAAGACGTTTGGGTGTTTGACGTTGATAAGGCGTATTGTAGTCTTCTTCTTCACTCGTTCTTCCTATAATTTGTGGGGGAAGTTGTTTCCCAGACGAAATCGAAGGAGCTTCCACAGAAGTTGATGATAAACAAGACAAACCCAGTGGCTGGTTTGGACCAGCCTCTGCCGATGGCCCAACTTGTGTAGACAACAACGTCCAGTCTTCCTTTGAAAAATAGGTATCAGGATCTGGACTACTTCCCAATTCACATAACGCCACATATGCCATCCATAACGTGGCATCCTTTTCCAAACATTTCTTAAACTGATCGATTGCTTTGTTCTTCCTATTCGAACGTTGATAAATTAAACCCAATAGGTAGTGACCTGCAGCTTTTCCAGGTATTTCTTCTTCTTTTTCGTTCCATCGTAACGAATCCTCTGCTTCTCTCAACTTGTTTTGTTCAAAAAAACACCACGCTGCCAAATATCGATTTTCAGGCGACTAGTATTTTGTTTTCAACAATGCCAAGATAATAAACACTCCGTAAAAAACAAACCTGACATCCAGTAAGTACAGCAGAAGCTCTATGTACTTTGTTTTGACGAATACAACTCGTTGCCAACAAGTAGGCGGTCTCTTCACACTTTCTCAAGGCGAATAGACGTTCTGCAAGAAAAATCTAATCATTTTGAACGGCAAATACTTGGAAATAAGTAAATAACCTACGGCGTTGGAATATAAACAATAATGAAGTGAATTTTGGACTCCTTGTATGAGGAGTAACTCGGAACCATCAAAAGCTTTCATAGAACTGGCGCAAAAAAAGCGCGCGCTCAATGAATTTTTTTCTTTGACCCAAAAAGGGTGATTGGATTCCATGGACTTTGGAATGGATGCCTGGAAGAGGCGGCTATGCGTACTTTTCTTCGTCTTTTCATTGTTCCAAATAGCATATAGTGCGAAAGAGGTACATAACATTGAGAGGCTAGACCGCACCATTGACCTCAACAAAAATTTTGTGACAGAAAAAGTAGTGATCAAGCTGGGCAAAGGAAAATGGGACACGTTGGAACTTATTTTCTCTTTGCAACAGTATGAATGTCTGGCGCAGGTTCAAGTGGAAGATTCATCCAACCATATTTTACCAGTGAAGGAACAACAAGAAACTGAGGTTTTATTTCGCAAGTTTGTAGTTGTGTTGGGTTCGACGCCCGAAGATACTCTAAAGGTCACCTCTCTTTATATGAACTGTTTGAAGCCAAAGCCACGAGTTATTCCTAAAGATGGAGATCAATATTTGTATTATGAAAGTTATGTTCGTTTTTACTGTCCTTATGAAGTGAAGGAACAAAAGACCACGATCAATTTTCCTCATTCCCAGTTCCATTTTATTGAGCAGGAAAAGATACCTCAACTGTCTTTTAATGGAAACAAGGCTATTCTGGGACCCTATAAAAAGGTCCCTTCTATGGATTCTATGACCTTTGGTGTTCGCTTTCGCCACAATACTCCTCTTCTAACCGGCAGTCAAGTGGCGAATACGTTGAAAGTAAGTCATTGGGGTTGGTTGCAAGTCCTCGAAAGCTATGATTTGGAAAATAAAGGAGCCGAGTCAAAGGGAGGTTTTTCAAGACTCGACTTTCAGTCAAACTCTCACTATTATAAGCCAGTGGTTGAGGATGTTGTTGCTCGTCTCCCTACAGAAGCTAGAGATGTCTCTTATAAAGACTATGTTGGGAATATTACCTCTTCGCATCTTCGTGGCCCTGATCGTTCGAAAGGTCGGATTTTACAACTCAAATTTCGATATCCTTTGATAGGCGGTTGGAAAAATGCCTTTTTTATTGGTTATCGTGTACCATCCAAAAAGTATCTAAAGTCATTGGGTTCGAATCAGTATCAACTGCGAGTGAATATTCCGCCTTCCATTAGAAGCATTGTTATAGAAAAATATGTTTTGAGAGTTGCGTTACCTGAAGGTGCCAAAAACATTGCGTGGGATTATTCAGTTCCGTTTGCTTTTGACAACGTGAACAATGAAACGATGTTTGATCTTTTGGATATTCAAGGAAGACCTTTGTTGGTCTTTGAGAAACGAAATATGGTGCCCACGGGTATGAATTGGGGTTCTCTTGTTATAACTTATGAGTTGAAAATATGGAATCTATTGGAGAAGTTATTATTGCCTGTGGTTTTCATATTGATATTGTTGGCAGGTTTATCTCTTGCAAGTCGCCTTAGTTTGTATTTGAGAGATGACACTGAAGCTTCAAATAGCGTATGTTTGAACAATCTGTATTCATTGCATTGTGCATTGTCGGATACTTACAAAGAGGCCATCCATAATTTTTCTATCATGAAGGGTTCAGTCATTACAGAACAGTTCTCTACTAGTTATAATTCTATCCACGCTCGTTTAAAAGAATTAGAGTTGCAGTTGGAACTCCTCAATAAGAAGATTGCATCATTAGGGAATGTCAAGTTGATCACCCGAGCAAACCAGTTGACAGAAATTGATAAGACAAAACATGAAATTCTTCAACGGTGGTATTCCACAACTCGTTCAAAACTTTCGAATCTTTCATCGGTAAGTTTATAAAAGTATATTATTTCTAGCTTTACTGACAACTGGTTGCGCACTAGCTGGAAAAGGAAATCGGACAGTTGTCACAAAATCTTGAGACGGAAAATATCAAGTTGGAAAAATGTTTATTAGATATTGAGGATGAGTTGTAGTTACATTTGTGCAATGTGGACTTTTTCACATACATTTGCTCTTTTAAAGAAGAAAAGCAGATTCGTCCAACAAATACTGCTTTGCAACTGAATATCTTAGACATACAACTTCACCTTTTCGAATGTGAATAGTACTCGTAACTTGAGAACTATTGTAAACGCTATGGGAAGAAACATTCACCATCATGGCACGTTGATTGTTACTTACCTAGGGTCTGTCGTCACATTGCCTATTTCCTCTGCTGCATATAAGAAAACAAACTCGTCCATATCATCCAAGTTTCCTGGAGGGTTATCTCCATCTCTCTCATCGATAGCACGCAGTTTTTCTGGTAACCCATTAAGAAAGGATCGTTCAAAGTGGCTTGTCATCAGTTGATATAGTCTTCCGTGGTTTGTAAGGCATAACAACGAAGCGGAAGAAAGAAAGTTAGCTTACTGTTTCATATACTCGGTTTCTGCTGAGGAAAGCAAACTCCATTTTTCCTTATCTCTCCCTAAATAAAACAATAAACTTTCAATCTTGCGCAACCGAGTTCTCAAATATTCCTTGAGCAAATATCGAATTCTTTCGAGTTCCAATTCTTTCAAATTCTTTACCAAAATAGTAGCAAAGTCATCGGTTCCCGTCACTTGTTCTACCAAAGACTGTTGAAACTGACATAAATCGGCAAACCCTGTAACCAGTTCTTCCTGATAAGGGAGTATATCATTGCAACATTTTTCGTTCACTAGCCACTTGCGAAGTCTCCAAACGTCATAGTTTATGTCTTCCTTTCCCTCTTGATAAGATTCTTCCATAAAACTAGTACTTGATATTTACGAAAATACCACCTGTTTTTAACAAGAAAGTTCAATGGGACTCTTGATGACCATTTCTTTATTTCCCGGCCATTTTGGAAGACCCAAACTCATGTTCATTGTACATATCTACTTATTCATATATGTATTCCCATTTTCTACTACTTCGTATCCAATGGCTCATGAATAATAAAGACGAGTTTTCGTTTTGATATGAAAACCAAAGTATCCTATAAGCTTCCTTTTTCATTCCATGAAACTTGGCATCATTAATAATTGGCCCCCAATGAAAGTCATACAACCCAAGAAACCTAAACTCAACTATTTATCTTACGGTGGAGTAGTTCCTTTTCGTACAAACTGTCCTTATACCTATTTACCACTTTCCTACTCTCCCGTGAGTTGGAGTCGTGAGCTGCTTCACCCTCGAAAACGTAAGCAGTTTATGGACTTTTGCTTATTTACACACTTGTTGCACCGACTGTCCACAACCGGTTCTATTCCACAGGTAAATTGAAAAAGTGTGTTGTATAGCGTCATCTTACTTTTGGGGTTGTTTAGTGTATTTATGACCCACACGATGAGGTACAACTGGATAGTGCCCTTTTCGAATTGAACCAATACAAACTTTATCAAAAGTCCTTGGAACAGAGCAAAGAAGAAAAGATGGAAGAAACGAGTCTTAATGTTGAGTCACAAGAGAGTGAAGAAGAAGGTCCAGAGTATAGCGAAGAGTCTTCACGTACCGACTCTAGAGGTGACCACCCTAGTTTAAGAAGAACGAGTGGTAAGTTTGTTGAAAAGAAACAGTTACTCTTGGACTTAGAAACTTTAGGGAGGAAAAGAACACGAACTTTTGAAGATTAAGGTGTACTCTTAAGATATACTGGTGTTCGATGAATAGTTGTCTTTGTGTGCTTTTCATAGAAAGAAAGTCAATACAAGTGAAACTCTATCAATCTGTTTTAATAGCACGATAAATAACTCGAACAAATGTCAAACCAGAAACAAAACCAATGAAACCTAAAGCTAAGAACAGTCCATAACTAAGTGCAAACGTGTATCCTAAAAAAGATAACGACTAGGAAAAGGTTTAGTGCTTCTCCTCTAAGATGATAGAATATTCTTACTTGTAAGAAGCCCGAAAGATTGCTTTGGAAGTAGAAATAGTAAATGGCATAGAAATAGAAGAATATCGCACAAGAGCCTCCATTCAGAAATGAACGCCACCACCTATGCTCAAAAACTTTGTTGACTACTTATTATTCACAGATAAGGTCTGTACGAACCACTTGTAATTTTCAAAACAGAGTTGCTGGAATACGAGGAAGCTTGTAATTGCCGAAATCCAAATGACCTACAGAGAATATTATGATGGAATATCCCGCACGTTCTCTCAACGGACTCCTTACCAATATAAGAAACAACATGAACAGTACAATAAAGGAAGAAGGATTCTCATAACCCCAAATAGCACTTAAGATATATCGCGTTTCCACCAAAACGATGCTTAATGGAAGAATTCCTCCAATGCAAGCCTTTTCTATGAGATTCAAATGTCATCAGAGATATGTCAATCAACAGACTTACTTGGAACCAAACTGATGCATACCAAGGAGCCCTTGGAATTTCTCTCTTTATTTTTGAAGTTCGAACAGGAGCTCGGAAACCTTTTCTTCCAGTATGTTTTCCAATAATAGCCCCCAATACCGTACAAGGAAAAGTAATAAATGCCCTAGTCATGTCAAATGGATATAAAACAAAGTGTGGATTGGCTTACCACAATGCAAATAAAACAAGTCCCAATGAAAATGGTAAAGCAATAGTAGAATCATAAAAGAGAGCCATTGTATTGATGCAACTCCAAATAAGAAACACTGGCAGAGTATAAATGAAAATACAAAGAAGAGTGTTTCGAACCCAATGTTGGCCATTCATTTGTCGATAAAGTCGTGCACTTCCAAAACCAGAAATGAAACTAGTCAATGAATACATAAATATCTACAATAGAACTTGGCATCAAATATACTTGTTGAGTCTAGCAAACTTACTGCAGTAGATAAGAAGGAAGCGCCACCACGCCTTTGATAACCACCCAAGGAGCCAATCATGAACAGAATCATCGTCAACAAAGTCAATTGAAGACCAACTCCTTGAAACAACAACATCAATGATGATGAATGACTTGTTCAGTAGTCATCGATTACTTACCATAAAAGGCACAAAGTAGATTGTAATAATCTGGAAAGCGAAAGACGTCACCACGAATGAGTTTCCAACCACGTTCTACATCTTCCATGGCACCCATTTCAAGCTCTTCTGTACTTCGAAGCTCTCTTCTATAAGAGCTGAATCATAATATTAGGAACAACAACAACGATAGTACCTTAATCTGCGGATAAAAATGATGCCAATGCTAGCAAGGACAAAAAAGATGAGACTCAAAGAACTTAATAAAGATGGCCATCTGAATTCAAATAGAGTAGGTGAGGAAAGACTTTCCAAACGCTCCTTAAAGAGATAAACAAATATTTGTATACTTTCGTATATATCAGAAAACTTACTGTCACTACGGTGTTTGTTGGATTCCAAGACACGGAATAGGAAATTGAATGATTAAATACACTATCGGCCGATATCAATACAGGTCCTTGCAACAGTTTGATCAATATCCAATCACATGAAGATAGACAATACAACATATATACCTAAAGGTAAAACATGGAAACGAATAATATTGGAATTATTGTAGTATATTTCAAATTGTAACTGGAAATGCATAAACAATTTACACAAAAGACAGATAGCAAGAATATCATACCTGAGAGTAAATATACACATGTTCCAGATTGGTCAGTCTCTTTCCAAGATGAAGACCCAAACGTTGCAAATCAGTTTCTCCTAAAGGAATGGCAGGCGAAGATATTCCATCCATTGTCAAATAATACTAAATCAATTGCTGTCAAGACTGCTTAAGACATTCCAAACGACCGTTCACATACCACATAATTCTCTGCAATAGCTCTTCGGAAAGAACCGAGATGTGTCACATCTATGTTCAACTGACATAAAGGAATCTCCTTCACAGATTTTTTAAAGTTTACTTGAAAACTATTGGCAAGTTACCTATCATACAAACTGTGAGAGTCATATACTTACGGGGTCTTTACTAGTCGATTTCCTATGAGTGCTTCACCCAAATGTTGTTCAGCATATTCTAATTCTTTAGGTCTACAGTCTTCACTCCAAGGAAGTGCCTTTGGAAGGTTTGGTTCTTTTCTGTCCAACCCACACTGCAACTTACTTCATAAAAATCTTGACCTTCTGCTGGACTATTATAAGGACCCATTTTATTTGCCCATACTACAATCTGTTCATTTTCTTTATAATCTTTGGCAATTGGTTCTGCAACTACTAATAAGAAGCCACACAACCACAATAAGTAAAAAGAACAGTTCATATTCTTACAAGTCCAAATAAAAAATTGTTAATTGATTGTCTTAGAATGTCGGTTTTGTCCATCATTGGCGCCTTATGTAGTCTTTATTCTATATTCTTTATCATCAGGTTTATCTATCGTCACTGGTTTAGAACACCTTTTTCGTGGGAAACTTATAGAGTGGGTTGATCTTTATTAGTTTTGATAGAAATATTCAAGTAAGAAACAGGGAGAATGGGCAGTAGTTACAGGTGCATCTTATGGTATTGGAGCAGCCTATGCAGTAGAGCTTGCAAAAAAAGGGTATTTATAGTATTCATATACGAGTATATTTTCTCATTATGTTGCTAGTTTGAATGTGATTCTTTTGGCGCGTTCAGTGGACAAGTTACAACACGTAGCTCAACAAGTAGAAAGTAAAGGCGCCAAAAGTCTGGTCATCAGTTTTGACTTTGCTAGTGCTTCTACTGAGGATTGGAGACGCTTGGAGAATCAATTAAATAGTTTGACAGTTTCTGTTCTGGTCAACAACGTGGGAGTCAACGTGAGTTTGCCCACAGCGTTTTTAGAGATGGAAGAAGAAAAGATGGATCAAATTCTTCGAGTGAATATTGTAGCTACTCAAAAGATGACGAGAATAGTTGTTCCGAAAATGGTTGAACGAAGAAAGGGAATTGTTCTGTTTCTTAGTTCAGGTGGTGGTGTATTAAGTCCTGCACCTTATTTAAGTTGCTATTCTGGTAGCAAAGCTTATGAGAACGCATTAGCAACGGCACTTGCTGGTGAATTGGAATCCTCGGGTATTATAGTGCAGAGTATTACTCCATTCTTTGTTACAAGTGAAATGAGCAAGGTATGGCATTTCTTGTACAAGTATGTAAAAAACTAAGTACAATTGAATAGATACGTCAATCTAGTTTGGCAGTTCCTTCAGCGGAAAGATTTGCTCGCGATAGTTTACAAAGTGTTGGATATGAAGTTTGTTCCAATCCTTATTGGTTTCATGAATGCATATCGATTGTTCTTTCTTATTTACCATTGAAACTACAGGTTTGTGTAATAGAGTTGCATAAGATAGTCGCTTACTATGCCATTTCCAGATTCGCTATGTTGCCAAGTTACATCGAGGTCTTCGTGAAAAAGTTTTAAGAAAGTCGGTACATAAGAAAGAATAAAATTTTAGTCATTTGTCATTCAAAAGTATTTTCTTTATGCAACAACAAAATATTGTTTTGAACACTCAACTAAATGGTCATTCTTTCTTTTTTGATACGCTTTGGATCTCTCGAGTCACGACCCACTATATCTGCTTCGAATAAAGTGCGTCCAGTAGCTGCTAAATAAACATCACCAAGACTTGGCTTACTTTGTGTATAACTAAATACTTGAAAACCTCTTTCACGTAATACTTTTTGAATACCATTGGCTACCATATCACCAGAAGAAACAACTAACTCTATGGCATTACCCATAGAAAGATTAATATTTCCTCCATGCACCCATTCACTCTTTAACAAAATATCCAAAGCAGCTTTGGATTCTTCGAATGGAGTAAATTCTTTGATTCGAATAGTAACCCGATCACCTCCTAAAGACTCTTTTAAGTCTCTTGGGCGACCTTGAGCAATGACCCTCCCTTTTTCAATGATCAAAACTTGATCGGCTAAAATATCGACTTCTTCCAAATAATGACTCGTCAAAACCACTGAACCTCCATTCTCTTTATACCCTTTGAGAACATCCCATATAATACTACGACTAGCAACATCTAAACCAACACTGGGTTCGTCAAGAATCAATAATGGAGGACGAGATAAAAGCGCTATTGCCAAATCCAATCGACGCTTGATTCCACCGGAATAAGTTCCAGTCAAACGATCAATAAACTCCTCCAAGTTCAACATCTGAATAACAGCTTCGATATTATGGCAAGACTCTTCACGAGATAAGTGATACAAGTCAGCAAAGAGTTTCAAATGTTCCCTTCCAGTGAGTACCTTGTCAAAACCTTCCTCTTGTCCCACATATCCAAACATGTGACGAATGATATCGGGATGTTTTATTCCATTCACTCCAAATATTTCAAATGTTCCCGAATCAGGTGCAATCAAAGTGGCCAAACACCGCAATAAAGTGGTCTTTCCAGAGGCATTAGGTCCCAATAAACCAAAAACTTCGCCTTGACGAGCAACAAAAGAAACTTGTTTCACTGAATCAACACGAGAGGGTTGTTTGCTATCCCGACTCTTTTCAATTTTAAATGATTTGCTTAGTTCATCAACTTTAACTGCCGGCTTATCCCGAGTAATTTCAAAAACTTGACAAGAAAGCTTTCGCAACGGTAATACTTTTCCTGTTTTCAAGAAAAGGTTCGGTAACTTGTAAGGTTTCCCACGTACTCCAAAATGATTATAAGAGGCTATTTTATGTAGCCTCTTATGCGAAAAGTGTGCAAGAATAAAACTAGTCATCATGAAACTCAATCGACATTACCAAACTTACTTTCCATCTTCATTGATGAAAAGGGCAGATAAGAAAGCTATCTTAGAACTTTTCCAAACTTATAAAGAACCTTTGGGTTAGTTGACACTCGCAAGTAGATTTGAAGGACTAATGAAATAAAAGGTAACTATATTGGTGCAGAAGGTCTACAAAGGCTCTTTGAAGATATACAAGTGGACCCTTCGGACGTAGTCACTTTGGTACTTGCTTGGAAATTGAAAGCTTCGAGCACTTGTGAGTTTTCCGAAAAAGAGTTCGTGGAAGGTTTGGCCAATTTGCAAGTTGACTCTTTGGAAAAGTTAAAAAGGAAACTGAGTAAGTATGTAATATATGATAGAAAAAGTTCCTAATGGGGTCTTTAGGCTCGTTGAGAAAGGAAATTGAAGATCCTTCCAAGTTTAGAGCTTTTTATCAATTTGTTTTTCAGTATTCTAAGGAGCCTTCTCAACGTTCGTTACCTGCAGAAACTGCTATGGCTTTGTGGGACGTTTTATTGCGAGGAAGATTTTCTCTTTTGGATTCCTGGTTAGAGTTTCTAAAGAATAATGTGAGTTATCTATCATCAAGTGACAATGATACTAAAGCTATGATTGATTAGACGCATAGCATTTCCAGAGATACTTGGAATCTCCTTTATGACTTTTCTCAATTAAGTGAAAAAGATTTGTCCGACTATGACGAAAATGGTCTGTACTTACAGTTTGTATCCAATGAGAGAAATATGACTGAACTACTTTAGGTGCTTGGCCTGTGTTGATTGATGACTTTGTAAAATGGCTCAAGCATGAACAACCCAACAAACATGAATCCTAAGATACCATTTGAAGTTTTTGGAGACGATTCTCTTTATTGTATGAATATTGGCGTTGAAGCGCAGTGTGTTGGTGGATCGATATTTTTGAAGAGTTCACACAGCTCAATGGAAGCTCATTGTATGTGATGAAATGATGGCTCTTATTATGAAAAGGACAAGTGCTAATGAGCATATTAGTCACACAATTAAAATCTTTTGCATACTTGTCTCTCTTTTTTTGGTAAATAGACGAGTGAAATCTTCCTTATCATGAAAACCAATTCAACTGTCTCTTGCCAAAGGGAATTGTTATAACGTGTTTTGTTGAAAAATTCTTTTGTTATTGAATATCTCCCAACAATTGAAAATCATTCGAGCATTTCTTTCATCCCGTTGAAGGACATAAAATAGA